TTCGCAGCACTGAACGACCTTCTGGCGACTTAGTCTGCTTGTCGCGGCCTTGTTTGTACAGTCTAGTCTTTTGCCTGTCTTTTTTGTTGTGTTTCGTGGTTTAACGAGGGACTGAGTGCAGCTGACTATCGACGAAGCCCTCACAAGCCAAAAACAATGAGCGACGGCTCCTTCTTACTGTGGTCAGATGCAAGCCCGACCGTAGTGAAAGTAGCTGGAGCTGAACGGCTGTCGGTGACCAAGCCCGCTCGCCGCAATCTCTTTGTCTTGATTTTGTGAAGCTGAGCGCACTTGTTTCACCGTTGCTTGGTGTGTTTGTTATCTAGGGACCGAGAGCTGTTGCTGCAGTCGACGAGGCCCGCATATGCCAAAAAATGTTTTTGTTGAAAAGTTGCCTCAGCCACAAAGTATGCCCGCTGCCAGCCCATGTTTGTTGGTGACAATTGCGTCGGTTTCTCTGTAGATCTTTGACTTTGGTAAACGAGCTGTTTCTTTCATTCTTGGACACGCAGTTTAAGTATTCTTCTTTTTGCTTGTTATACGGACTAAAGGACGCAGCCGCTGTTTGTAAGGCCCGCGGATGCCAAAGGAAATACAGGTGAGCATCTGGTTGGTGTTGACGGCGCTTTGAAAAATAAATGCAAATGGTGTGTTCTCACAGGTGGCAAATCTCAAAACTGCTTTGACGCTCACATTGAAGTGGTTTTTGATGGATCTGATAAGTTCAGTATTGGCGCTGTTTCGACACGACAAATACATTAGAAGACACGGTACAACTGGTGTGCATAAATGACCAGCAACTGTTTTTTGAGTTTAGCTTACACTGGGACGATTGCACACATTCGCAAGGCCTGCATGCGGCAATCCGTCCATTTGTCTTCAGCACGAAAGACTTGTTGATTCGTCGAGCACTGTAAGTTGCACCGGTGGGGTGGCCAAGAACGACATTTGTCAAGCCTTGCGCCTCTCATGGGTTTTGCTTGAGCATTGTGTGGCTTACGTGAGTTGCGAGAACTTGCGACTGTCCCTTTTTCCATTCTGAAAGCGATGTTGTGTGCATCCTCCCTTCCCAACACGAAAATCTTGCTGAGTTGAGTGTGGAGCTGCATCGATCGGCAACCTCTCCAAAAGCAGCTGCGGACTGCGAGCATTCTAATTTTCACACTGAGCGACATGCTTTTTGCGCCGTGCTTGACCTTGTCAACTTGTTGTGCAGATAGTTGCCCCGTGACAACTTTGATAGTGTTTGCTTCCCCGACACTGCAGCAATGTGACACTGATACTTGCAGGCTGCAGTTGTCAAGTTGCAGAACATAAACTTTGTTGCGATTGCTGCCCACAGTCATTCCAAAATACGCCGGCGAGTTTTTGCCAGTTTGTCTGTTCAGGCTCCTTCCCGGTTCGGCGCGTGGACAATTTAGGGTTCCTGGCACATGGTCATCTTTTCATTGGTTTGACTCGAAGCCAAAGTCCTCTGCCCGTTTCTTGTTTCATGGAATGTGGTGAACTTGTTTCAAGAAAAAGACCGAGCGCCACTATGTTTTTCACAACGTGCACTGGCTGATTCACCATGAATCAAAGTTTTTTCGACTCTTTGTGCGAGAGCGCGTTCATTGCCGTGGTTTGTTGTCATCTGAGAGAAGTCATTCTATCAGGTTTACAGCATTTTACGAGACCTGTGTAGGAACCGCAGCTAGACGACTCCTGCCGGTGAAGTCTGCACGTCGCAGCTTGTTTCGATTAGATTTTCCTCGCTTACTTTGTATCTTGTAGGGACCGAGCAGTCGACGAGGTCCGGACACGCCAAAAAAACTTTGTATGACGTGGTTTCGGAGAGCAGGATCTTGTGAGAGAGCTTAGCCATGCGGCCATTCCGCAACTTGTTGCGGTCTGAGCGGAGCATTGCATTCTTTCGCAGCACTGAACGACCTTCTGGCGACTTAGTCTGCATGTCGCGGTCTTGTTTGTACAGTCTAGTCTTTTGCCTTGTCTTGTTGACTTCGCTTTTTGTGAGGCCCGAGTGCAGCAGCTTTTTTCTGCTCATTCTACTTCTGACCAGCTGCTAAGCGGGACCGTAGTAAGACAGCGGACTGAACGGTTAAAGCCGGCAAAGCCTGCTGGCCGCAGGTCAAGCTAGGTCTTCGCTCGATTGTTTCACCGCTGTCTTTTTTGTTGTGTTTCGTGGTTTAGCGAGGGACTGAGTGCAGCTGGCGCTGTCGACGAAGCCCTCACAAGCCAAAAACAATCAGCGACGGCTCCTTCTTACTGTGGCCAGATGCAAGCCCGACCGTAGTGAAAGTAGCTGGAGCTGAACGGCTGTCGGTGACCAAGCCCGCTCGCCGCAATCTCCTTGTTTTGATTTTGTGAAGCTGAGCGCACTTGTTTCACCGTTGATTGGTGTGTTTGTTATCTAGGGACCGAGAGCTGCTGCTGCAGTCGACGAGGCCCGCATATGCCAAAAAATGTTTTGTTGAAAAGCTGCCTCAGCCACAAAGTATGCCCGCTGCCAGCCCATGTTTGTTGGTGACAACTGCATCGGTTTCTCTGTAGATCTTTGACTTTGGTAAACGAGCTGTTTCTTTCACGCTTTGACACGCAGTTTAAGTATCCTTCTTTTTGCTTGTTATACGGACTAAAGGACGCAGCCGCTGTTTGTAAGGCCCGCGGATGCCAAACGAAATACAGGTGAGCATCTGGTTGGTGATGACGGCGCTTTGAAAAATAAATGAAAATGGTGTGTGTTCTCACAGGTGACACATCTCAAAACTGCTTTGACGCTCACATTGAAGTGGTTTTTGATGGATCTGATAAGTTCAGTATTGGCGCTGTTTCGACACGACAAATACATTGACAGAAGACACGGTACAACTGGTGTGCATAAATGACCAGCAACTGTTTTTTGAGTTTAGCTTACACTGGGACGATTGCACAAATTCGCAAGGCCTGCATGCGGCAATCCGTCCATTTGTCTTCAGCACGAAAGACTTGTTGATTCGTCGAGCACTGTAAGTTGCACCGGTGGGGTGGCCAAGAACGACATTTATCAAGCCTTGCGCCTCTCATGGGTTTTGCTTGAGCATTGTGTGGCTTACGTGAGTTACGAGAACTTGCGACTGTCCCTTTTTCCATTCTGAAAGCGATGTTGTGTGCATCCTCCCTTCCCAACACGAAAAGCTTGCTGAGTTGAGTGTGGAGCTGCATCGATCGGCAACTTCTCCAAAAGCAACTGCGGACTGCGAGCATTCTAATTTTCACAATGAGCGACATGCTTTTTGCGCCGTATTTGACCTTGTCAACTTGTTGTGCAGATAGTTGCCCCGTGACAACTTTGATAGTGTTTGCTTCCCCGACACTGCAGCAATGTGACACTGATACTTGCCGGCTGCAGTTGTCAAGTTGCAGAACATAAACTTTGTTGCGATTGCTGCCCACAGTCATGGTCTTTGAGGACCTTTTTGGCAGGTGTTTAGTTGTATGTAGTGTCATTCCAAAACACGCCCGCGAGTTTTTGCCAGTTTGTCTGTTCAGGCTCCTTCCCGGTTCGGCGCGTGGACAATTTAGGGTTCCTGGCACATGGTCATCTTTTCATTGGTTTGACTCGAAGCCAAAGTCCTCTGCCCGTTTCTTGTTTCATGGAATGTGGTGAACTTGTGGTTTGGGGTTGTTGAAGTTGACCGGCGTCGTCCGTGCCATCGAATGTTGCAACAAGATGTTTGGATCTCTACTGAATGTGTGTGCAAGTTGCTTGCAGCTAACATTTGTGGGGTGCCGTGGACAGCTGAACTTGAGCTGCATCCTCAGATGTTGGGCCTGTAATTTTCACATGTGTCCGCATAGCTTCAACCAACATGTGCAATGCGCAGTCCGTTTGCGAGCTTCGAAGTTGTGGCTGCCGGTATTTTGCTCAGGCCAGTTGTGCTCAGCTGTGCTTCTCCAGGCCGGGGACCATGGGAAGATGTTGATGGTCAGAAGTTCAGTTCTCAGGACCCAAGATGTTCAGGTAACGTGGTCGTCACGGCCAACATGTAACAAGTCCTGACTGTCGAACGTGGATCATATCCGGCAAGTGCGATAGCTTCGATATTGTTCCCGGCGCTGGTTGCCGGAAGAACTCCATGGTGATATCAATGTGGATGGTCGGGCTCAGACCGTCTGGTTGTTGTTTTTTGAGTGCACATGTTGGCCTCAAATCCAAAACCTAATATCTGGACATACCTTGACCATAAGTTTTGAAATTGGGGATTGAGTTTCATTGAACTGGGCTCGAGGTTCAATAGGGCGTGTGAAGGTGGCCAGGGTTTAGGGTTTAGGGTCTTGAGTCTAGGGGCTTTGTAGGAGGATAGTGTTTAGACCTAGCCCGCATGGATTGGACAGGTTGTACCAAGCAATACGGGTGGTGCGGGTGTTGCCCAGGCCTGCATGCACCAAAACCCCGCAGTCCAATGCTGGGTGCTCGCACAGCTTCCAATGCTCCATCGCCTTTAGTCGCTAAGTCCTACTTGCGCGTCAAGACGTAAACGCTCAAGACGATTTCCAGTCCTAAACCGAGGTTCAGACGTTCCGAAACCCTGAACATGAACCCTCGAGCACCAAAAGGGTCCAAGGTTTTCTTGTTGCCTGACAACCTGAACCGAAAGTGCGGTAGCTTGGAAAGTATTTGGACTATGGAACCGACGGGTTGAGATTCAGAGGCAGGATTGCGGCCCCAACAGTGATTGAAATGTTTGCTTTCAGCTTCCAAGGCTTCCTGTAGGCTCTTTAGAGGCGGAATCTTCATGGCAGAGCCAGGTGTGAAAATAGGGTCAGGGTTTGGGTTTATGTTAGGGTTTCTGACGCTGCTTAGCGGTCATCCCAAATGCCAAAGCCGTGCTTCAATGCAAATCTACTGAAAAATGATCCTAACCACTAAATCCGCAAACCCCAAAGCCTCAAGCCGCCAAAACGGGCCTTAGACTTCAGATGCTTGAAGTCCGAAGCCCACAGCCTGGATCGAGACGAGGATGGGGTGGCGTTTGGGCCACACCCTGGCGCGACTGAGCTCTCGGCAAGCAGCCGGTCGGCCCAGACCCTCCCCGAAGAAGTCCTTCGTCAGTGTTGTTTCTGGGTTACTCGCAGGTTGCAAGGTTTTGGTTTTTTGAACATATCATGTTGGTAGTCATGTGTAGACTCTCCCGCAAAGCTTGACGGTCTTGACCCGTTCTTTTAATGTGTGGGGCTGCAGCCGCTTCAACCTTAAAACCCTAAACCCTCTAGGAAAAGAGGGTTCAAAAAAACCTTCTAGAGACCAAACCCCAAAACCTAAGCCCTATACCGTTTCGGAAGATGCGCTTTGCGAATCTCGAGGCGAGAATGGGCAGTTTCATGGCAGGTCGATGAGCAAAATGATGGCTACTCCGGGGTTCCTTGTAAGGGATACTGTAATAAGGTTGCTGTTGAGGCACAATATGATAGTTATCTATGTAAGGGGTACCATAATCGGGTTCGTTATTTTAAGGGGTACGAGAGGGTTCTATGATGGGATTCCCCTTCAAAGGGTTCCTTTAGGGCATGGGACTTGGTAACTAAAGGGCTTGTGAATACGGGATTTGCAAATATAAATATTGCTGACTACGAGTAAGGTATTTATCTCGTTGCTTTCTGAGACCCATGATACTATCTTCCCTAAGCCTAACCGCAAAGATGTACGCAGCCCAAATACCTTTGAGTGAGTGCTAGTTTTGTAGAGCCACGGGGCCCGAAACTGCCAAGACCTAGGAAGAAAAACACATCAAGCGTTTTGTGACTACGAGGCTCGTTGCTACACGCCGCGGATAAGATTTCGGGCCCGCTGCCCCGGACGGAGATTTGGGTTTTCGAGGGGCATTTCGATTAGCGGAGGGGCGTTAAGCGGTTGCAAGCCTTTGAAGCTTCAAGCCTGAAACCTAGGTTCAGGGTTGAGGCTTTAAATTCGGACACCGGGCAACTCAGGCTAGTTGGGACAGGCCAGGAGTGGGCGAGGAATGACTGAAGAAGGTTGTCTCCTGTGGGGAAGTGGGGCTGAGCCTCAAGTTGATGATTCGGCACCCGGTAGTTGTGGGTTTTTGCTTGCTTAGGTAGGATTCCAAAGGAGTTTGTCCCCGGGGGAAGACTTCAGAAGGCCGTGCCCTGAGCTGTTCGCTCAAGCGAAGCTAGCTCACAACTCTTGAGCCTTCTGCAGATTCCCTTCCGATGAGCACCTCCGTTTACCGCGGATGATCGCTGCAGCGCCCCGACTGTTGCGGACGAGGCCGAGCAATGCCCACCGCGGGAGGAATCCATCAACGGGATGGTCATGGTCCTTCACCTTTCTCTTGCTCTTCCTGTTTGTCTTTGTGCCGAAGAAACCGGCGACAGCCCCATTCCTGCCTCGTACAATTGCGCCCTCATGCAATGGACGGAGCTCAAGCGAGGCCAGTTTCGGGGAACGCTCGGGAGCGACACTCCTCTGCAACGTCCTCGAAGGAAGCACTCGCAAGCAATATCCAAACTTGTGCAACGTGTTTAATCGTGTTGTCCAGCGGGGCAAATCCCTCATCGTTCCCACACCTCTTGCCTCCGCAATGCTGCTCGATGCCTGCAGACAAGCGCTGGGCATTCCGATAAACTTGAAATCTGTCGGCTCTCACAGAGACGGAACCTTCTCGCGCAGTGGTAGTGATTATGACTTGTGGATTCTGCCTGTGCCGCAAGCAAGACTAGAAATTTCATTCAATCAGATGCATGTGGAAGGGCTGAGGCGCAGCGTCGAGTCTCTGTGCTTTGTCAAAAATGTTCGCTCCAAGGACATGAAGATCCAGTTTCAAGTCGTTGAAAGAAAGTTTAACAAATCCTTGCCGGTGGAACTCTCATTCTGTCCAGATGACGCAGAAGGCTTTCCGTACCTTCGGAAGGGCACATCTTTCGCCGAGAACGACGCGATGATCGATGCGTTTCTCATAGACCATCCGGCAGCGAAGGTCGCAGTGAGCGGTGTGAAGCAGCTCTTGTCAACTCGGCCCAAAGGATTTCTACTCAAAGCCATGGCTTGGAGAATTGCCACCGAGCCTGGCCTCTGTCCGCCACTCAGCGACCGAGAAGAGCACCAAGCGGAGGGAGCCGACGTTCACGTGGAGGCCTTTGACTTCTTCCTCCGCATGCTGGCGGAGCTGAGACACTGGAACACCTCATCGCTATGCAGTGCAGACTTGTGGCGCGATCTGCGAGAGCACCCGAAACGAAATGAACACGTCAGCCGATTCGAACATTGTGCAGAGGAGATTGTGGCTGGTCAGTGGAGGCAGCGTCTGGAGCATCTGGAGAACAACGGCATGAATGGCAGCTATATCAACAACACTAGGGGTGAGCAGGGCAAGCACCCGTCCCGGCACTGCTTCTACCGACCACCGGGAAATCGTGGAAAGAGGAACCACAAGTGCTTGTACTGCGACGATTACAACAAGGGAGTGGGTCTGGGACCGGAGGATCGTTGCAGGCGCTGTGGGGAGGTGCAAGTCAAACATCCGGAGTACCAGGCCAGGAAGCTGGAAGTGGACACCTTCATCGCCAGGCAGAGCCAGGTCCCGATCTCTCCGGAGCCGGATTCTGCGAGCCCTACTGGGACGTTTTTGAAGTGGCAAAGGCCGGATGGTCCGCCTGGGCCCGGGCCGAAGCCTTCGGAGTCGCCCCGGCAAGTCGCACCACTCGAAGTGCGGGAGTCGCTAAGCCGACAACGCACTCTGCTTCAGCGCAAGCTCGGGAAGACGTTGAGTTTTGTTGTTGAGCCCGTCCCGGGGCAAAAGTTTGTGGCAAGCTTGCTCCACGACGGGCAGACCTTCACAAGCAGAAAGAAGGCATTGCCCGAAGAGGCAAAGCTGGAGGTGCTTAAGCAGGCTCTCGCCTATGTGGATGAACATGGGCCTTCTGCCTCAGGGTGTGTAACGTGAAACCTCGTGTAGGACCCTTCGTTTGCTGATTGCAGGGGTCCCCAGAGACTCCAGAACCCCTTAATTAAGGAATATACCTTAAATCATATAAGGGATCCTATTATAATTTAAGGTATATTCCTTAATTAAGGGGTTTTGGAGGCTCTGGGTCAGTCTTCCATTCGAAGCCTTCTTGAATTCAGGCTGAGGTCTCTGCCCGGCATCAGGAACCAACGAACCGAATCTAGAAAAATGAGCGTGGCATGCTAGATATTGCCAAAGTCTAAACCCTACACCCATATCTGACTCTTGAGCCTAAACCTTGAGCTCTTCAACAGCTCTTAGGTTGTGGCAGAAGGCTTGGCGCACTGGCGCACCCACAGGATTTTAGGAAGTTTGGGTGAAAGGCGTCATTGGGACGTGCCTGGCAGCCTTTGTGGAAGCGACGTGAGCATCATCCCACAGCTACACAACTCCCCAGACCTTTCAACATCCCTCAGTTAAGGAATAGACTTGAATAGACTTTGAATTATACTAGGATCCGTACTATGCTTCAAGGTATATTCCTTCACGAAGGGATCTCTTGTTCTGCAGCCTATTCGCTTTGGGGCCCTCAGCACTTAGCACCCAAGCCCAACTCATACAGGATCAGAGCCCTACCTGCAACCACATCCAGCGACCGGTCAGCACCTTCGCAGAGAATCGCGAAATCCGCAGTCGACAACGTCCCCAGGCCGCCACAGGCGCCGCAGCGCGCACCTCGGAGGAGCTGCTTGGCGAGCTCCGCGGGATCCTGACCAAGGTTGGGGGGCTTAGGGTTTAGGGTTTAGGGGGCCCGATGCCGCAGAGCTATTTTTGCTTCTTGAAGGATCATGGGACTTAGTAACTGTAGGGTTCCTTAAGGGTTCCTTAAAGGGTTCCTTCAAAGGGATCTATAAGGCTTCTGTTTTTGCTTGTTTAAGGCTCTTAGGGCTCATAGGGTTTAGGGTTTAAGGGTTGACGGGTTTAAGGGTTTAGGGTTTAGGGTTTGGAATTCGGGTTTGGGGAGAGGGGAAACCCGAAACCCTTAACTCTAGGAGCTGTGGTTGTGGATGGTGCGGTTCGGCTTTGGGCTTAGGTTAGGGGCTTTGGGGTTTGGGATTCTCGGTTTGGGTTCAGAGCTCAGGTAGTTTGTCTTTGCATTCGGGTGACACAATCCCGAAGTGATTTCAACATCATCTCCTAAGCCATACAAACCCAACCCTAAACCCTAAACCCTAAACCCTCGAGCTGAATCCTCAACCCGAGTCCCCTGAAAGCCAAAACGCCCACAGGAACTTCTCACAAGGAGCCCTCCTTTTCAAACCCAAAGTGGCCAACGCAACACTGCTGTGGTCTACGGGGCAAGTCCTAAACCCTATCAAAACTGGATAAAACCCTGGACAATGTTCAGGAAACCTAGAAGACGCTGTAAAACCTCGCTACAAGGCTTGTAAGGCCCTCTCCTTCAAGCTAGAACCCCGAACCCGCAACTTCCGAGGTGTCTTTGCCTTACGGCCGAAACCTGTAAGCCCTGGGGTGTCGTGTGTAGTGTGTAGGGCCATACTGCGCCGATGTATAGGGGTTCTATGACTTGCTAAAGGGTTCCACAAGAGTTCGAGGCTCAACACGGTTTCTGTAGAGTTTACCTATGGTCTTGGGCTGAGGGCTTACCGTGGTTTGCTTCAGGCAGCGCAGGGTTCAGGGTTCATCGGGCTTACAGGCGCGAAGCTTGCAAGGCTCCGAGCAGACTTCATGGGGCATGTTAGGGGAGGGCTTTTGGGTTGGTATAACCCCCAAGCGCTAAACCCCAAACCCTTTGCCGGCTCACAGCTTCTGGCTCGTATCGCAGGAACGTGCAGTTTCTTCCGATTGTAGAGTGCTCGAAGACATGTGTTATGCACCCTTTGCAGCACTTTGTAGCTGTTGTTTTTTTGTACGAGTTTGGGACCGGTTCGGGAAGAAGGGCGCAGTAAGGATGTAAGCTTCAGCGCGTAGCAGTTGGGTTTGGGCTGTGGCAGGGCCACTTGTAGTCCAGCTCCATGGCCTCCACGCAGCAGGCGAGTGCCGTCGCGGCTTTGGGTCAGGGCTTGGGGATCGTCACGGACTCTTGGGACTCTTAGAAGCCTGCAGCTTGCGCCAGGCAAGTGAAGCTGTGGCTTCGAAGTCCCTAATGCTTGCAAACCATGAGCCGATGTCTGAAACAGTGGTAGTTGTCGTAGTAGGAGCAGCAACAGTGGTGATATTCGTGGTGGTGGCTTTGGTGGTGGGCAGTAGAAGTACGTCGATCGTGCTTGTAGCCAACACCATGCATCCGTTGCAGCATTGCAGCAGCCGAAGACGCCAGACAAATCAGCAACAGCACCGTTCTGCCCCCAATACACTGAAATTCAGGTAGGTTATTTGAGGTTAAGGTTTAGATGAAAAGGAACGACTACGGTCACTGCGACGGTCGTTCGATGGTGATAGCAAATACAAAAAGCACGCGATACCGACGAACCAATTCGGGCTTTGACATCAAGGTTTACGCTTTTGGTGGTCTAGGGCTTAGGGTGCAGTAGCCTTTGTATGACCTTGGACAGCCAACAACCTTCCATGAAGTGATCCTGGCGGTTGCCACAGTAAGGGCACCAACACAAGCGTTATTGCTTTGAGACCATATCTCGCAAGACCTGAAGTACCCGAAAAATATGGACCTATTATGGTATACTCCTTCTGAAGTAGCCGAAAACTATGGATTTACCATTGTATACTCCTTATCATGGAAGTCGCAGGATGTGCCCATGAAACATAGGAGCGAAAACAGGGAGGAAGAGCAAGAAGCTCAGAGTTTGTGACAGGATGGCGATCAGCCGCGGTCCTTGGATTCCGAGGCTTTCATTCTGTCAGAAAAGATCTAGAATTAGGGGGGTACCTTACTGTGGGGTCCTTATGATAAAGAGCCTACTATTTAGGGTATTATATTAAGGCCCCCTGTTTTGATCTAGAAGAACGATTCGCCACCGAGCACGCTTTCTAGTGTTGAAAGCTCTCGGATAGGTGTCGGCTTAAACCCTAAACCCTAAACCAAAACCGTCCCGTTCTTTGAGGCTCAGCCCTGGGTCCGCAAACGTACAAGTCTTCAAGCCAGTAAGCCAACAACTCGACCGAAGCCAAAGGCCTGCAGCTGCGACCTCTCTGGGTGCCCCAACGAGTACAACCGATGTTGTCGGGTAGTGAAGTCAGCGATAGTGGTATGAAGACTGGGCCCTTTTGAATGATGAGACGAGTAGTAGTTCTATCACTTATCTTATTCTCGCCTTGATCCAATTGGAAGTTCACGTGTAGTATGCCCCGTAGTTCTGGAGCAGCGATGACTCGATGACCCTGGGTTCTAAATCTCCAACTCAACCAAGAGGACCCTCAAGCCGAACCCAGCAAAGGGGCCTAAAAGCCCCACAGCCCTAAGGCCCAGAGCCCTACGCCGCAAAAGCTTCCAACTCCCTAAAACTCCGAAGCCCTGCACCCCAAAATCCCCCCCGAAACCCCACTACTCGCGCCCCCAAGCCATCAAAACACCGACAAAAGCCGAGAGACCTACGATCTCCCAAGTTCCATATATACACGCTAAACCCTAAAACAGACCCGAAGTTTGGAAATTTTGGGTTTAGGGTTTAGGGCCCTAAACTACAGAAAAATTACCAAAAAGCACCCAAAAAGCCCTAACGGCCCTCCTGAAGGCGGTGATGCAAGGCAGCGTGAGCTGGTCCAAGCGCCGCAACGGAAGTTGTGAGCCCAAGAGTGGAAGAGGGACCGATCCCGCGGAACGGCAGGAGCTCTTGAGGGGGTTTTAGGGTTTAGGGGTTTGGGGTTCAGGGTGTTCAGGGTTTGGGGGTTTGGGGTTTGGGGGTTGAGGGGGTTTGGGGTTTGGGGGTTTAGGGTTCAGGGTTGAGGGTTTGGGGGTTTAGGGTTTGGGGGTTGAGGGTTTAGGGTTTAGGGGTTTGGGGGTTGAGGGTTTAGGGTTTGAGGGTTGAGGGTTTGGGCTTCAGGGTGTTTAGGGTTTAGGGTTTGGGGGTTGGAGGTTTGGGGTTCAGGGTTTAGGGGTTGGGGGTTTAGGGTTTCGGGTTTGGGGGTTAAGGGTTTGGGGGTTGGGGCTGGGGTATAGTTAGCGGCCCTACTAGCTAGAAGAGGGTTTGGGCTTAGGGTATAGGGTGCAAGGTAGTTGGCGCTCTTTAGGGTTCCTTGAAGGGTTCCTTGCAAGGGTTGCTACAAGGGTTACTACAGGGGTTTTCTAAAGGTTCCTTGAGGGTTCTATAAGAGCTTAGTGTCGTGGCCTCTATATTGAGACTAGGGCTTTGGGCCATGTTGTACTTCATTTAGATCAATAAGATATTTGAACAATAACGGTATTGCTGATTGCTCAGGCGTCTACATAATAACAAGGCATCAGCATGGGTTTTAGATTTGGTGTAGGAAAGGCTCCTTGGGAACATGGGCGACGGTATAATTTGGATGTATCCTGCAGATGCTACTTTAGACGCCCTCACCCTAAACCCTAAACCCTGAAGGAGTCGACGAGTCAAACCAGACCATCGTCGACGTGCCCGGATCCTGCAGAGATCATGGACTGGAGTGGCCAGCCCTGTGCTCCGGTGCGAAAGCTGAGAGGGGGTTTAGGGGTACCTTACTTCGAGTCCTTATAGTAAGGATCCTACTATTCAGGGTTCCATATTAGGGTCCCCCTATTATCGGAAACTCCCATATTGAGGTTGGAGATTGCTGCAGGGCTTAGGTCTCAGGGTTTTATAAGAGCAACAGCAACTACTAGTACGGTTGAGAACCGGAGTCATAATCCAATTGCTAACTACTGTTACTCATGACGACGACCCACGACGACGCGACAACAACAACTGATGATGATGGCAATTAGTATCAAATATACATACAAAAAATGGACATTGAATCTTAGTAAAGTGATTAGCTTTGGTACTCGTATTATCACTATCTTGATGATGAGGATCAAAAAAGTACTACTTGTTTTACGTTGTTGTAATGTTCTCATTTTTTGTTGGTCTTACTACGATTTTTGGGGACTCGGGCCCAAGAACTAGCGAATGAAAGTCAAAGTAGCAGAGACTGGGTTTAGGGTTTAGGGGTTTAGGGTTTAGGGTTTAGGGTTTAGGGTTTAGGGGTTTAGGGTTTAGGGTTTAGGGTTTAGGGGTTTAGGGTTTAGGGTTTATTTAGGGTTTAGGGTTTAGGGTTTAGGGGTTTAGGGTTTAGGGTTTAGGGATCTTCAGCTGCAAATCGTACCTTGGCCTCACGGCTCGTGAACTGTGGAATCCGTCGGGATTTTGTGGTTTTGCTTCGAGATGCAAGGAGCCCTACAGTACCCCTCGGGGCTAGTTGCAGAGTTGGCTGAAGGATGATAACATGGGGGCCCTCATAAACAGAATACAGTTCTGGGGTACAGTACAGTGTAGTTATACTCTAGAACTGTTGAGGAATCATAGAGGTACATCTTCCGGCTTCTATATATGATAGGGAGTTCCTTGACGAGTCTGTCCATACGTCTAGATTCTCTTTTGGTGTGCTCCCAAGACTTGTCGATATGACCCCTACATCCTTCATAGTACTACTTGCTACTACTTGCTGTCTTCGCACCTACTCAACTGTTTCTCCAAGTCGGCCATGCTACCACTCCACACGAACAACGACCCCTTCAAATCTAGCTACAGCTGTGAGACTGTAATACTGAATTGACATTAATCGCCAGGCTTGCCAGGCGGATAACAAGTGAGAGCCTTATGACGAAGGTCATCAGTGCTATGACCCACAGGGGAAATTAGAATCCTGAGCTCGCACCCCCATTTACTACCTGGACACCCCTTCCGAGGTCGACGAATGTCTCGCAGTGGTAGCGCTTCGAGCGTCACAAGCAGCCGCAGTGACGACAGCGGCACAAGCACGGCAAGTGCCCACATCATGGCACAGTATTTGAGCCACACCTGCAAGTGTTCAGGGTTCCGGGTGTAGGGGAAGAGTCCTACGCTTGAGGATTCTTCGGGTGCTTGGGTTGGCAGTGTTTGGTGCAGTGCCGGAGCCATTGTTTGGGATCTCATTCCAATTTGCTGGCGTCTGGGGATCACAATCCAGTTTTTCCACTGTAGGAGACTCTCTTGAAACTACAACAAACGAAAGAGCGACGGACAGATTTCCTGGAAATGTACTGTAACAATCCTGTGAATGCGAAAGGAAATCGGAGTCGTAGACCAGACACTTTTGTATGGTCGTCAAAACCATAACCATCATCATCATCATCACCACCAGCAGCAGCACCACCATCACCATCACCATCACCATCACCATCACCATCACCATCACCATCCCCATCCCCATCGCCATCGCCATCGCCATCACCATCATAATCTTCATCCTCGTCTGCATGAATAACCTTATCCGCATCCTCATCTGCATAATCCGATTCATCTTCATCATAGATATCTCCAACATCCTCATCATCACCTTCATCACCATCATCATCGCCATCACACGTTTACAGAAGAGACCAGTCTCCACTTGCCATTGCTGTGGCACATCGAGTATTCTATGCACTTTCGTTTCTACATTAAGCCATCAAGCAGGTAGTTTTGTTTTTGAATGCTCGGTGCGGACGTGGGAAGGCCTGCTGACCCCCCGAGAGCCCTACGCCCAACTTGCTGGCTTTAGTAGCCGCTCCAAGACCTGAGCGGCTTCCGGTTATCGGTGCTTTGGGGTTGAGGGTTTAGGGATTTGGAGCCGAGATGTTATCGAGGAACGGCGGAGATGCGCTGTCCCAGCCACCCGAACGGGTCGTTGCGTGGCGCCGGTCACGGCAAGAGAGCTTGCTGGTGGTCTCATCGCCTCTTGAGAAGGACAGTTAGCCGGAAGAATCTTGATCTCTAGGGCCCTGGCTCGCTTCGTGAATTAAGTCCCAAGATTAGGAAGAGTTATGGTAATATAGGCGCCTTAATCATTACCTATACTATTTTGGGGGCTCCTTATTATGGACCCCAAGCCATATTCTAATTATTAAGGCCCCTATGGTAGTTCTCTGGACTTTCTGTGTCGTTTCGAAACATAAAGCACGAATCGCGAGCCCCGGAATGCGACGAAAAGCGTCCGACCGATTCCTTGAGACGGCGCACGACAGTGAAGGAAAGCGTCTCGGTGGGTTTAGGGTTTAGGGCTTAGGGTTTGGGGTCTAGGGAAAAGCTTAGGCTTTCATCATGCAGAGACAACAGGCGACCGAGGCACCTAAGGAGCATCTATTTGGAAGATGGCTTTTGATGTTTATGATTCCTTAGCGTTCCCAAGTATATTCGGCCATGGGACTGTATTATACCGTAAACTGGCTTCTTTATAAGAAACTGAATTATGTACCATCATAGGACGAGCCAATAATACCCCAAAGCCTTACCGCATTCCTTGTCCCCAGACCCGGACGGAGAGCCCTGAGAGCCAAAACGCTTGCCGCGAAATCTTGTAGTCCTAGGCCACTAACTCCGAACCTCTATAAAGGGAACTCCAGAAAGTTGGAATATGGAATAGGGAATTTGGGGGTCCTTATAATAAGGATCCTACTATCTAGGGTACTATATTAGGGTCCCCTATAAAGGGAACTCCAGAAAGTTGGAATATGGAATAGGGAATTTGGGGGTCCTTATAATAAGGATCCTACTGTTTGGGGTACTATATTAGGGTCCCCTATAAAGGGAACTCCAGAAAGTTGGAATATGGATTAATGGTAGGATCCCCTATAATTTACCTTAAAGGGGTTACGATAATGATATTCCAACTTTCTGGCTTCTACTATACCCCGGCTTCATCTCGGGGTTCTTCAAAAGGTATAGGGGATCTATAATAGGGTTGAGGTTTCAGGACCGGCCTCCATTCTAAAAGTGTGAGGCCTCGACTCTCTCGAATCCTGGACCCTAAGCCCTTCCTGTAGCCGAAAAGACCTACCTTTTTTAAGGAACTATATATAAAAACCATACTAAGGAACCCTAAAAAGGTAGGTCTTTTCGGCTACAGGTTGACCTTAAACCCTGAGATCCTAAGCTCGAGCCCGGAGGTTTTTTGGTTAGAATCACGGTATCACATGCCCGAAAGCCCTCTTCGAGTTGTGCACAGCACTAGGGGCTCCTATATAACACCAAACCTCATGGCCAGAGCATGAACTAGGGTTTAGGGTTTAGGGTTTAGGGGTACCTCATTCAGGGGCCGTTATTTTTCAGCATCTTGAACTTTAAGGCTTTAAGTTATCCTAAGCCGCTGCAATCAGGATCCGCTAACCAGGGTTGTATTTGAGGGTTCCGAAATCCTTAACCCGAAGCCTTGAACCCTACACTCAGAAATGAAATGGGACCCACTGCGGCTTGAACTTGCAGCCTTGCCCCAAGCTTCAGTCACATAGTGGGTTTAGGGTTGAGGGGGTTTAGTTAGGGTTTAGTGTCTTAGGGTTCAGGGTTCAGGGGGCTTGGGCTTGAGGGGGCGTTTAGGGATTAGCGTTTGATGGATTAGAGTTTCGAGCTTTCCTGTCATTGGAATGGCGAATCCAAAGCCGAAGCGCAAGTCCTGCGTAAAGGGTCATGGGACTTAGTAACTAGGTATATAATTAGGGTAACTATACTTATCACCTCAAATAAGGTACTAGTAACCTCAATTGTAGACCCTAATCCCTATCCCTATAGATCCCTTTAAGGAGCCCTTAAAGGAACCTAACTTACTAAGTCCCATGATCCTCCAAGTGGACAGGGCGATGGCAGCATTGCGGGAGTCCAGCAGCTTTCCAACCAGGTGCTCGGATTCTTCCCTAAACCCTAAACCCTAAACCCTAAACCGGCCACTTTTGGGTCCCTCTTAGAATATGGCACCTATCAGGTACTCAAAAGGGGACCTTAATCTTGACAACTCCTTCTTCTCGGAGGGCTTTTGGGCTTTTGGGTTCAGGGCTGAGGCTTCCGTCCGGGATTCCCGACGCTTGTGAGATTTTCGATACTTTAAGCTTAAAGCCTTGACATCAGCTAAGCTAGAGACCCAGAGACTGAAAATCTTCAACATTGAGGAGTTATATCTTCGACTTAAGAGGGGTCCTGCTCATAAATTCCTGTATATTCCTCCTAAACCCTAAACCCAAAACTCTAAACCCCAAACCCTAAACCCGAAGCCCTAAATGAGTCTGTGCGACGTTGTGGGAGCTTTGGGATGCCCTAAGTCTTAGATCTTGAGCCATTTTCCGTAATAGAATCGGCTTGAGGATTCAGGATTCATGATTTGGGGGTTTGGGGTTTAGGGTTTAGGGCAGTGTGCCTACAAAGGCAACCTTGAGGGATGTCCAGCAGTTGAGAGCTTGAGGCTTGCGCTCTGATATTTCGTAGTTCGCCTGCCATGATGCAACTGCTTTTGTTGCTTTCATATTTGCACCATTCTGGGCATTTTCGCTCTAGCACTGCTGCTGCTTCTTGCAGTGACGATGACTGTGATGAGCAGGACCTTGACGACTACGATGGGGATGATGGTGGGTTTTCGATGATAGGTTGCGGTGCTTGTGCTGCACTTGATGTTGTCAGTGACCCTAACAACCTGGATGGTGGTCGACATTCTCTTTGTGTGATTCCTAGGACTGACAGCTTATGTCATACAGGCGAGCCCCGAAGTCCCGAGCGCAACGCCCGGAATCCAGGACCCAAGCGTTCCAAAAGCCCCAGGAAACTTTAGAACGTAGGGGGTTTTATGGTTTAGGGTTTAGAGTTTAGGCGTTTAGGGTGTAGGGTTTAGGGGTTTGAACAATGCTTAGTGGTATGTCCTGACAGTCGCTTTAAGAGTCAAAGTAGAGTATCTCTCAAAGCCAACCTGAAGCACGAACTCCTCACGCTTGAACTCGCCAAAGCCCTGACCTTTACGTCCCTGCAGCATGCAGCTTATCCGGGGTTTAGGATTTGCAATTCAGGGATGAAAGGTTGAAGGGTGCATCGGCATTTCCCTTGTCGCCCTGAACGCAATAGGGTTCCTTATTATTGCTGCAGCTTGCTGGGCCCCAAAACTACACCCAAGGCCCCGACCCCAAAAGCCCCCTCAAGGAGTAGGCTGAAAAGGTAGCAACAGCATCGCTGTGGCATCCCGAATATACTTCATCCTCTGACGCATCTTAAACCCCAATTCTCACTGTAGGCATTACCCTAAACCCTAAGCTTTCCCTAAACCCTTAACCCTAAACCATAAGCACTTTCAAAAAGAAACCTAAACCCTCAATTATATATGCTTCAAACATTCCCTAAACCCTAAACCCCAAATTAAAAAAAAAACATATCCTAAACCCTAAATTTATATAAGCTTCAGAAGCAGCCCCCACTTCGCAGTGGTTTGCCCTGGCGGACAAAGACCGATCCAAAAGCATCGGCCGGGGAACTCGTTTTTTTTTTGATTGGGGTTTAGGGGTTTAGGGGTTTTAGGGTTTAGAGGTTTAGGGTTTAGGGGTTTTTGGGTTTAGGGGTTTAGGGGTTTAGGGTTTAGGGGTTTCGGGGTTTAGGGGTTTAAGGTTTTGGCGGTTTAGGGTTTAGGGGTTTAGGGTTTAGGGGTTTAGGGTGTAGGGGTTTGGGGTTTAGGGGTTTAGGGGTTTAGGGTTTACGGTTTAGGGGTTTTAGGGTTTAGGGGTTTAGGGTTTAGGGGTTTAGGGTTTAGGGGTTTAGGGTTCAAGGCGCCTCGCCGCGCAGCGGCAGTATTTTCTATGTAGGATGGCGCCCCAACACTCCCAGGGGTGTGGGGCGGCGGCATATCTACGTCTAGCGTTCGAATGCGATTCCACCACCAAACAATTACACATTGGTTCCTGACCTTTTCCTACCCGCTGTGAGAATACACAGGCTACCACCCAAAATATTGCCTTTTAGGGTTTAGGGCTTACGCCCTCAATTTCCACCTGCTGTCTGCTGGCCAGAAAGGCCGCACCTACACAGGTGAGGAAGGGGGCCAGGGGCCAGGGGTGGCCAGGGGGGGGCCAGGGGGGGTCAGGAGGGCCAGAGACCCACCGGGTCCCTGGAATCTGCCAGCTGGGGCCGGCCTCTGGGGCCTTTTCCGAAGGGAGCCAAAAGGAAACGTCCACCAAGCAATTTGGTCGTCCGGTTTAGGGCATTCGCTCTTGAGATGCGAGGGAATTCTGTCTGCGAATGCAAAAGGAAATCCGGCACCATTTGGAGAATGGTAGCCCCTAGGGCTGGGCCAAGCCATTAGGCCCCTTGCGTGGCGCGCACCCGAACAAAAAGGGTGGGTACGGCCTAAGCAGGCTTGGGTGGGAATTTAGGGTTTTTAGGGTTTAGGGTTTAGGGGTTTAGGGTTGAAGTCTGAGGTCCGTGTGGAGTTGGGAGTTTGGGTGCAGAGTTTTGGTCTGGGTTTTCGATTTCGGAAGCTGGGGCTAATGAGCATGCAGTGTTCCCTAAACCCTAAAGCCCTAAACCCCTAAACCCTAAACCCCTAAACCCTAAACCCCCAAACCCTAAACCCTGGATGGAATGACGATGGCAACCAATCCCGGCCAGGTCGGCTCTGAACCGCAAGCACCAAGCCCTGAACCCTAAAATCACAAGACCCTAAACCCCTAAACCCCTAAACCCAAAAACCCAGAAACCCTAAACACCGAAAGCCCCAAACCCCTAAACCCTAAACCCCTAAAGCCCTAAACCCTGTATTTCCGAAGCCCTAAACCCAGCTTTGGAGCTTCTGGGGTTGGGGTTGAGACGGGCATGTCAGGTCCCTCGGGGTTCCGTCTTGTCGCTTGACAGGCTTTGGCTTAGTATAGGGGCCTAAATAACACTATATCAGGGTATGATATAGCGGCTGATTAGAGTTACAGGTTCCGGGATATTGTTTGCTGGTTGAGGTAGATTGCTTTTGAAGACAGAACTGTAGGGAAGCGTACCATAGTACCCTGAAGCTGAAATTGAGCACGCCATGTCAGTGGTTCCTTTACCAGCACTGCCGTTACCACGTAGCAAGACTGGGGAAAGAGTTTGTTCATGTTACCATAATAGTAGGGATTGATATCATGTGAATTCATGCGAGTTCCATATTCGTGGTATTTGTGTGTAATTTCTTTAGCATCTAGAACCCCGTATAGAAGCCATGTAGATGCCGGGCAAAAACACTTTAAGACCCGCAGAGCGCGACTATTAAACCCAGGTGGCGAAGAGTTCCGCGAGCTGATGGACACGGCCGACCTTTCCGGTTTTCGCTCTCGGGGGTTCTTCACTCTTCATGTCTCTCAAACAGACTCTGAATCGTACACCCTAAAGCAAGAAAGCCTGAACCCTAAACACCCCGAAAATTGCAAGAAACCTATCCCCAAAAACTTCAGATGCACATCTCAAGCCACACATGAACCTAACCACACCATTCTGAAAGTACAGGACATTGGCCTTGGAAGTTCTCTGCGCTAAAGCCTAAATCGGCAAGTTCGAAGACCTGGTCTAACAGAAAGTCGTTTTAAACGTCTTTGAGGTTTAGAAAATATTAGGGGGCGAAATATGTCTTAGGACACGGTTACTTTGAGGGTTTAACGGGGATCTCTTCAATTCAGGCGTTTCTAAATGTTTAGGATCCAAGGATCCTGCAATTTAGGGCCTTTTTCCTGCAAGTCCCGTGTATGCACATCCACTGCGTTCACAGTAGAAGCAGTATCAGAACGAGGTTGACGAATTTTTCACAACGCTGAGTGTGACATAACTACCGTATGAGTACATATTTATACATGGGTCGTTGTCAAAAGTTGTCAAAATTATGGTCCCTTTTTGGGTCGTGAATATAATACGGCACCTAATATTTAGGGTACCCAAAAAGGGACCATGATCTTGACAACTAGCCACAGAGTGCAGAACCACTCAGGCGAATTCGTAGGGAAGTAGGTAACCTCCTAAGGCAAAATTGCAAGTACTGGCCAAACAAAATACACACCGCGGCACAGTGAGGCCGTGAACAGGTGAGCAAAGAGATATCCATGCTTCGCACAATAATCCACGCAAGTGCATGCACAAGTGCATATAGATCTGCAAGTAAGCAAACAGGCAACTAACTTCATCACGATGTACAACTGGATAAGTGGTTTAGTAAACGCATAGCCATAGGTAGATGAGCATTCGCTTACTACACAAGTATGAACATCCATGTGTTGCATCCCGTAGAGCCCTACTCACACCCCACACCTCACAGCGTACGCCCCAGACCCACCCTGAACCTACTTGAAGGATCATGGGACTTAGTAACCAGGGTTATGATTAGGGTAACTATACTTACAACTACTGATAGCCCCACTTAAGGTACTTATAAGCTTACTTACTAAGTCCTACGATCCTTCAAGTAAACTGCTCTGTTGAGTGGCCAGGTGGGCCTGCACCTGCGGGATAACGAGCTGGACCCCGAGCTTTCGGGCTTGAGGAATTTTGATAGTTTAAATAATAAAACTATTAGCAGTATTAAACATAGTAATAATGGGTTTCGGGGATGTGGCAATTCAGGGTTTAGGAGTTTATCGGTTCAGGGTTTGGAGTTTAGGGTCGAGGGGATTGCAGGTTCGAGGGTCCTGGGGGCTTGAGATGCAAGAGTGGCGCTGGGGGTTCAGGAGTTCAGGGTTCCCAGGGACTCCAATATCCCTTAATTAAGGAATATACCTTAAATTATAGAAGGATCCCTAATATGATTCAAGGTATATTCCTTAATTAAGGGATATTGGAGTCTCTGGGTTTGTAGATTTAGGGAGAGCGCTTTTGGGGTTTAGGTTTGACCGCCAGATCTGAGGTTTCACCGGGGGTTTCCGACATTAGGGGTACCTTATTTGGGGGTCCTTATAATAAGGATCATACTATTTAGGGTACTATATTAGGGTCCACTATTTTCGGAAACTCCCATATAGTGTTTGGATGCAGGTGTAGGATTTAGAGGGTTGTTTGGCTTTGCGTTTTTTACGGTTTCGGGGGTTGCCAGTCATCTTATCATGAGGACGGGAGTCATCCATCACATAGAAGCCACGGCGTTTTTTCTTGAGGGTGTCTTGCTATAAAGAAATAGAGCAATGTACCCCAACACACTCTTCTAATTATGAATGCCCGTATGTCAGATATGCTTCAGGGTTGTTGGCTTCGTGAGTTTGTAAGGGGTTGAATTTCAGCAAGGATCAATGCTTGCTATTTTTGCGTTTCTAGGCGCCTCTAGATTCTACATAGACAAAAGCTCGCGCGCGGCTCTCGCATCCCACAGCTCTCGGCTGTCGCGCTGTCGCAGAGGCTTTTCCGTGACGTGTGAAGGGCATCGGACTGAGACTGATTGAACAGGGTTTAGGGTTTAAGATTTTAGGCTTTAGTCTCCTGGCAGCTCATGTACCGTAGTAGGTTAGTAGGGCTCAAGAAGGGAGATGTGGCAAGCTGCTTGTAGCACGCGAAGCCATACCCAGGTGGAAGCTGCTCTTTGAGTACTTCGACCCGAAGAAAACGGGAGAGATTTCATACAGAGCCTCCGGCAACATTCCACTTCTGACTTGATTCCGTCAATTGAGGTTGGACGGATTGCTCTGCAGGGTTGAGGAAGGCTTCATCAAGCTTTCTCAGGTTATGGGCTTTGTCTATGTTCTCTATTGGGTGCCTTGTACAAGAGGCCTAACCTAATTATGAGGACCTCCGGATTCCGAACCGAAACAATACGGTTACTGCGCTGTCTCCTTTGTCATCATCATCCTGATCATCACCGTCATCGTCATATTCGTCATCGCCATCATCAGCATCAACATCATCATCATCAACCTCACCATCATGATGAGCATCCCCTACGCTTCCACCTCCACCACAGTAACAAGCATAAGCCATAAGCACCAAGAGTACTCTGCGACCCTCATTGCAAGCAACAGCAGTCAGAAAAGCTACTAGCAAGTCGTGCCACAATTCACGAACCACTAACCATCATACATATTCAACTATTGACTGACCATCATACATACCCAGCTACCAAATGTAAGACACACCCAACTACCAACTATAATAACGCATACCCAACTACCAAATAGAATAATAAGCAACTACCAACTATATTTATTTTCAACTACGGCTACCAACTAGCTAGCCCAAGTCGTCATCAGCCGACACGACAGGTGACTTCACCCAGACTCTTCGGGGAGAGGCCGTCGGCTGTCTTTGTTTCCTTGTGGACCTCTGGTTGGGGGTTTTAGGATGTCGTTCGGGTTTGCGGATTAGGGATTAGGGTTTAAGGGTTTAGGGAAAGAGGATCTTGGAGTAAAGATCAAGGATGTGCCTCTTGCTAGAAAGGGTTATAGATCGTTTTCCGTGAGCTCAAGCTCAGGAAACTTCCCCCTGGATCCTCTGCATCCCGTGAACCCACCTGAGTTCTCGATATCAGGAAACCTGGAACCCAAGACGGAGTGCTTAGAATAGGATTGTGTTCTGTGAAAGGCTTCTTTGGAGGTTTACGGGACATATGGGGCTTTCATCAACACCAGACTGTCGGTGCAAGTAGGCCTAGTGGCCTTCAGGTTCGCGAGTTTAGAGGTTACAGCGCAGGTGTCAGGATTTAAGCTTTCAGGGGTTAGGTTCTTAGGATTTCAGTTCAGGGCTCAGGGTAGCGCGCCACATGTAGCAGGTGGCACGCAGTGAGTTATCAAGCCTTAGCCAGCAGCCTGACCAGATGCCGCAATTCGCTGCTTCCCTGGCCTTCATGGATCAGTACCGCGGCCACTGGGCTAGCAAGATTTAGGCCATACGAGGGGGCCATAGTAGGAGTTAGTAGCGGGTAATGGTCGCGGATTCTACGTGATATGTCAGTTCTTCGGTCGGGTTGGTTTCGGGGCGAACGTCGACGATTGGAGGCGCGCGGTGCGGGGTTTGTGGTGTAGTGGGCAGTTCGGTTTCTGGGAAAGCTGCAGTGGAGATGGAAGTGTGCAAGCTTCAGAAAGCATTGTATGCATCCGTATTGCCCTTGCGCTCCTCGCTGTCTTTCCTTCGACGCACCCTTACTTGGAGGATCATGGGACTAAGTATGTAAGGTTATCAGTACCTTAACTGGGGTTATAAGTCTAGTTACCCTAATTATAACCCTCGTTACTAAGTCCCATGATCCTTTAAGTAAGCCTAAGCCCTACAAGCGAAACCCCATGCCGCCCCAAATGCTCTCCCCAACTCCCAAGGCCCGGCACCATCCCATGCCTAAACATTCAAACCCAAGCCCTAAAGGCATGAGGTCGCAGCTACTGTTCCCAAGGGCCAATATTCCCATTCGCCACTTCAGGCTCATAAACCAAACCCTACAGCAAACTCCACCGGCTGGGCGAGATGTTGTTGCTTCTCTTGCAATGTTATGTTTTATTCTTGTTCAACTTCCCTGACCTTACGCTCGACACCGTGAGCCCACAACCTCAAATCTTTGGCCGGCGAGCCTGCGCCCCGTATTGAGAACAGTATACTTCACCACCAAGACATAATTCTACAGTAGATATTCAAGGCCCCTGTATCACGAGGTAGAGCCAGAATCTTACATGGACGGTCATGAGGAGACTTAGTAACTAGAATTGCAAATAAGGCAACGGTAGTTATACGTATAACTGCAATTAGGGTACTTACAACCTCACCTACTAGGTCCCATGATCCGCCACGTAGACCCTAATCCCTAAACCCTATAGATCCCTATAGATCCCTTTAAGGGGCCCTTAAAGGAACCTACCTTACCGTAGTCGAAGCTCAGGCCACTACCCATCCAACATGGCGTCCCTGCGGCGGGTGATGCCGAGATTCGATCCCGAGGATGGTTCTAGGTTCAACCCTACTTGGAGGATCATGGGACTTAGCTAGGTTCCGTTAAGGGCTCCTTAAAGGGATCTATAGGGTTCGTCATAAGGGGGTCTATAGGGTTTAGGGATTAGGGTCTACTTGGAGGATCATGGGGCTTAGTAAGTAGGGTTATAAGTGCTTTAATTGGGGGTATAAGTAGCTATAAGTATAGTTACCCTAATTATAACCCTAAGTTACTAAGTCCCATGATCCTTTAAGGAAGCCCTATAGATCCCTTTTTAGGAGCCCTTTAGGGAGCCCTAGTTACTAAGTCCTATGATCCCGTAAGTAAAACCACCGAGCCAGAGGCTGGTTTTGGGGAGTTAGGCTTGCAGGGTTTCTTGGGGTATTTAGGGTTTAGGGTTCTGGGTTCAGGGCGTTCCGAAGAGGTTCTTTCGAAATGTTGCAACCGTAACGAACACTTTTCCGATAGACCATGGCCTCTACGTCGTCTATGCTTTTGTTTCTGCTTCGTACTCTTCAAGATGACGGCTTTGGGGTTTAGGGTTTTAGTGTTTGAGGGGTTTTGGCCAAACCGTTAACCTCAAGCACCGCTTTAAACCCAAAGCCTAATGCCGCCTCAACCCACATCCTGAACCCTAAGCCCGAAACCCTTCGCACCCTAAACCCAAAACCCAAAACCCTAAACCCGACACCCTAAGCCTAAATCGGCCGCGTCCCAGAGGTCCCGAGCCTTCCTTGTCGAGGCTTTAGGGGCTTTCGGACTCTGAGGGGTTTGCGTTGGGAAGTTTGAGGCGGTAAGCTGGTCGTCAGCCACTTGGGTAGTTGTCAAAACTAGGGTCCCTTTCTGGGTACCCTAAATATTAGGTGCTGTATTATATTAGAGACCCAAGAAGGAACCTTACTTTTGACAACTACCCACTTACCTTTGGTTAGTAGGGAATGGAGGAATGGGGTACAATTTTAATTACTATTACTACCATTCTTCCATTCCCTACTAACCAAAGGTAAGACCAAGAGTCACCACCGCCGCCACCCAAACCCAACCACAGACGCGGGTAATATTTAGGCCGGGAAAATTGCACCGACACGGTTCGGTTTCTTAAGGCTCCTATAGACGTGCATGCTGCGCAACCCGAAGCATTACGATGATGTCTCGGCTGCTTTAAGTACGCAAATACCAATTTTGGACCATTGTTCATACGACTCTGAATACCATTCCAAAATAGCATTGAAAGAAGAAGAACAGTTGCACTCTTGCAATCAAAGTCTCCGAATTATTATGTTCGAGGTACTCCGGCTCCCAAGCCCTACCACTCTAAAACCTAAGCCCTAAAGCTCAAACCCTAAAGGCCTCTAAAGTACTAAATATCCGCAGCCCTAGAACCCAAAGAGCCCGAAACGAGCCCTAAACCCTACACCGGAAACTTCAGGACCCTACACCCCAAACCTCTGGGAAAAAGGAGACGGACGAGTGGATAGAGTCCCTCGACGCCGTCCTTGGCACCCACGGCAGCTTCGGCGCAAGCTTTGGGTCTAGGGCCGGCTTGGAGTTTAGGGTTTAGGCTTGGGGGTTTAGGGTTTAGGGCTTGCGGTTTAGGGTTGCGGATTTAAAGTTCAGGATTTAGGGACGAGGGTTTAGCGTTTAGGGTTTTGAGTGTATGGTTTAGGTGCAGGATAGTCAGTTTGAACTTGGGGCTTAGGGAGTTCATGTTTTGGATCTTTTGGGTTGACAGCCTAGTGGTAGAGTAGGCAACCTTTAACCTTTTCTGGGTAGTATATTCCCTATGTAATCCCGATATAACCAAAAAGGTTAACCTTTAGTTCCTCATGATAGCCGACAAGTGGGACAGGGTTTGCCCTTAACCCTAGACTCTAGGCCCTAGACCTTAAACTTGAGACCCTGCACCCGTATTCTAATTGAGTGCATAACCCTGACCCTTTGCGGTTGTATATCATCCTACCACAACTGGAGGGTCAACTTGTCTTGGGGGCAGGAACCTAAACAACTATGGTTCTACCGTAGGACGAAGCTACCATGTCGGTAGAAGCTTCGAAACTAACAATATTGCTCCTTGGGGTTTACGATTGCATTTGTAGTATAACATGCCCCAAGAACCTCTTCTAGTTATTAAGGCCCCCATCCTTAACCCTCAAGCCCTTAAACCCGAAACCCTAAATCCAAAACCCTTAATCCTGAACCCTCAAACCCTTAGACCCGAAACCTTAAATCCTAAACCCTTGATCCCTAAACCCTCAAACCCTTAGCCCAAGAGCTGACATCCTTAAACCACCGGGAGCGGGAATCCTCGGCCCCCACGCGGCCTTCTTCAGGGCGTTCGTAGCGGAGCTACGTGCCAACTTGGGGTTTCGGGTTTAGGGTTTAAGGTTTAGGGTTTAGGGTTTAGGGACCCTAAACCCGAAACCCCGGCGTCCCCGAGCCGAGCGCTGCTACACAAGTACATCTTCAAGTTTCGAGATGTCCCCATGATGTCACGGATCATTGGCTTCCGGCCGGTAGAGGGTGCGCTCAATAGTATTCATGAGTTCAATATCCTGCAGCCTGAAGGCAAGGTTTTTCCTTTTGCCATCCTCATGATGACGCCCCGAACTTCCACCTCACAGAGGTTCCCAAACCTCCAAACCCTAAACCCCAAAGCCGAAGCCCTGATTCCCAAAACCCTAAACACCGTCGTCTCAACTTTATGCTTGGATCCTTAAGCCGCAAATATTACGCCACAGAGTTTGAAAATTTGGGGTTTAGGGTTTAGGGTTTAGGGTTTAGGGCTTAGGGTTTTGGGTTTAGGGTTTAGGGTTTAGTTTTGGAAGCTCTGAAAGTACTGCAATCCGACTTCTTCCTCACACTCTGAGCCCTCTGGACTGCGGTTCTGTGCGCTCCCAGGTCCGACGAGGGCTCGGTTCCTTTTGCACGAGCTCGGTGACGAGGCTCTTTGGCTGGGGCTGCCAGAGCCCCCGCAAACAAAACTTGAAGAATCCGACAGAAACCATAGCCATAGAACCCAGTAGGGACTATAAAAAATACTGTGGACTGTAGAAAACGATATACGCCTGTTTCGACACAGAGAGACAGAGAGAGAGAGAGACACAATTTCGCGTTCCTTACAATAAATAGGAGTGTATCCAACATTTTTGGAATCTCGGGTAGGAGTGCTTCATTTCAGACATTTGCAGGTCGGAATTGCGGAAGGATTGTTATGTCTTGAAGAGGTATTCTGGGTAGTAAGCACGTACGGCCAGGCTTAATCACACGACCACAAAACTCAATGGCAAAATTTAGCAACCAGGTGGTGGAGAAGCGTGAAAGCATTATCAGTAGTCACAGACGCGTCGACAGTGCTGTGCTGTGAAAGTAAGTAGCTTTTGCAATTCCAGACGGTGTGTTTTGGTGTATCTCCCCTAAGGGATGTCTATTCGGCGTATGATCACCATGGTGGATACGATAGAAGCCTAAGTACTTATGTGGTGATCTATTGTTTGGGGCTCCTTCTAGTGTCTATAGTACAACAGACCCCCGAACCCCGTCTGAATGATCAAGGCCCCTTCTTTACGATAGACTGAACCATTGCCAGAACACTCAGCCCATCGTGTACCTGGACCCTAAAGAACCTACTCTTTGCGGGCGTCTTATTCTGATTCATGATTTTCTTGTAGAAGTATCCTTAAAAAGGTTAAAAAGGTAGGTTCTTCAAGGTACTTTCATTCATGACTATAGTACCTAAAAATGCAGTTCTTTTTGTAGGGTCCCTGGGTCCCTGGTAGGTTTAGGTATACTGTTCTATTCGCCTATAAACCTTGTGGTCTTGATTAGACTGGCTCGAACTATAGCATCCACGCACCATGACTTCGGAGCAGCAGACATGAAGCTTTGCAGAACCCTCAGCCGTACATTCGCGAACCGAATAGCATAAAAACGTTTACGGTTTAGAGTTTAGGGTCTAAAACCTAAACCCTAAACCCCTAAACCCCTAACCTTTCTATTCCTTGGGAGGGCGCTGGGGCCCGATACAGGGCGTTGGATATCTGACGGGAGCACTCCCCTCTAAGCCTTCTTTCATGTTAACACGGTATGCCCCTCAACCTCATCGCAACCCTGTAAAAAGACCCTTAACTCACGGCTTTGGGTCTTGTGGGGATTTTGTGTGCAATCTCAGGTTCGCTAACGGAGCCTGGGCTGTAGGGTTTTGGGATTTCAGGGTTTAAGCTTTTAACTTCAGGATGAGGTTTTCGTTGTTTTTTCTTTCCGGGGGGGTTTTAGGGTGTAGCTGCGGACCAGCGCTGCCGACCGCAGCTGCTTCGGCTCAGCTCTAATGTCAGGCTTTTCGTGTTGACGTTCTTTCTCCAAAGCCCCTCCGTGAGGACATGACTTTTCGTGCCTGCCGCTTGGATCCCGTGTACAAGGGTCTAGAAGTCAAGAGTTGGATTTGCACCCAGGGCTTAGAAGCACTTTTTCTTTAGTGGGCCTTGGGTTCAGGCTTTTGGATCATTTTCCTTTGCGGGTCTAGGGTTGAACATTTAGAAATACTGCAGAAGCTTGAACTCGTAGCAGTACTACTATGCTACTCCTACAATACACCTCAAAACTCTTGTTTCATTATTCGGTCCTGCCATCACATCTTTCAAGATCCCTTCATCCACTCGTTATCGGTTTTGTGACCTTGTACCATAAAACCCCGAACCCCAAAACCCCAAACCCTCTAGACACTAGACCCCAAAACGCTGAGCCCCAAACCCCCCTTAAACCCTGAACCCCAAAACAACCTAAACCCTAAACCCAAACCCCACCCAAACCCTAAGAAGATTTTTGTCTGCTTTTCCTGGCAGCCTCAACAGACCGGGTGCACCATGAGTGCCCAACCGCCACGATAGAATTTAGGGTTAGATGGGGTCTTACCGGGCCCTGTAGGGGTTATGAAGTTTTCCAGGTTTTCGTGTTTCATGGAGTTTGGAAGGTTTGATGCGAGCCCTAAAACCCTAAACCCTATGGATCGTACTTGCACGTTCGTGGGTAGTCATATGTGGGGTTATAGATGGGGTAACTATACAGTGGTTAGAATCCTTAGTGGTGAATTCATATGCCCACTTACAACCACCCATGAGCCTCCAAGAGGGTTTGAAGTTCAGATTCGAAGTTCGTTCCTGATTTGAGACGAATCGTGGTTCCAAGAACGGCTGCAGCCTTCTGCTAGCATTTTAGGTTTGATGCCCGCAAAAAGAATGCTTCTAAGCATTGCACAAAGAAAGCACCCACCAGTAGTTCTGGAGTTTAGTATTGAAGACCAGCGTTGAGGCTATTTCCTGGATTGGGCCGACCTGAACCTTGCTTATGTTCGTTTTAGGATTCTAGGACTTAGAGTAGGCCCTTATTCTCCTTCTTACGGTTCAGGTTCCTTTATAAGCCCCTTTAAACCCAAAAGGGCATCCTTCTTATTCTAGGTTACTCTTAGGTCTGGGATTTCACAGGGTTCCCTGTAGAGATCTAGAGTTGTGTATGGGTCTTGTCGTGTTTTAGAACGATCTTAAGGGTTTAGGGTTTAGGGTTTTTTGAATGCACAGGGAGGCTTTGTTGAACACAGCTATTCAAGCCCAGTGCCTAAGCCCAGACCTTAAACCTTAAATGAAAAGCGGCTCAGGATACGACACCCCAAAACCCCAAACCCTCAACGCGGAGCTGACACCACAACCCTGAACCCCCTGGCTAAACCCCTAAACCCCTAAACCCCTAAATCCTAAAGCGCTAAACCCCTAAATCTGTAGATCCTAAACCCCTAAACCCCTAAATCCTAAATCCTAAACCCTAAATCCTAAAGCTTTGTAAAGCCTTATAAGGATTCTTCAAATCCTTTGGCAACCCCGCAGAGGCCTATAACTTCACTCCTTCCCAGCCGAGGTTGGCTACAACTTACCGGTTACCCTAAGCCCTTAACCCTAAACCTTACGGCCCTACAGCCCTACAACCGCACAGCCCTATAACCTAAACCCCACACCCTAAACCTGAAACCCAAAACCCTGCAACACTTTCCCAAAACACTAAACTCTAACCCTAACCCTAAATCCCAAACCCTAAACCCCAAACCCTCCCTGCTTACAAGCCGAGGTTGGCTACAACTCTTTTGGTTACCCTGGCTGCGGGCTGCCTGGGTCACCTTGGGCGATCTCCAAGGTCTCCGAAAGCTTTGGCTTTAAGGGTTCAGGGCTTAGGGTTCTACAGGGGTTTAGAGGTTTAGGGTTTAGGGAGTAGGATTAAACATGGGTTTTAGAGGTTCAGGGTTTAGGGCTTAGGATAAAACAAGAGAAAGGATGGCTGAGAACAAAAAGGGTTTAAAGGTTTTTGGTTTCAGTGGTTCAGGGTTCAGAGGTCTTAGGGCTTTTCAGAGCTCAGGGTTCAGATTTCAGGGTTTAGAGTTTAGGAGTCTATAATCAAAGGGGAAAAGGAGGGACCCTTAGTGGGGACCTCTATCCTATAATGGGCTATATAATGGGTTTACAATAGCTATATAGCGGTCCTTATTAAGGGTCCCTCCTTTTACCCTTGGACCCTTTGAGGCCACTGTAGAGTCTAATCCCTAAACCCTTTAGATCCCTGTAAGGAACCCCTATAGATCCCTTTAAGGAACCCTTTAAGGAACCCTAGCTACTAAGTCCCTTGGACCCTTGGTTCAGGGTTTCTCCGGTTGAGTTTCAGGCCCATCGGGTTCGCGGGTTCGGCTCCGAGGTTTGGGGGTTTCGGGTCTGGTTTTAAGGTTTGGGTTCAGGGTTCAGGGTTTAGGGTTTAGGGTTTAGGGGGGTGAGGGTTTGGGGTTTAGGGGGGGGTGAGGGTTTAGGGTTTAGCGGGGGGTGAGGGTTTAGGGTTTAGGGGGGGGGGAGGGTTTGGGGTTTAGGGTTTGGGGGGCTGTGCATTCCATCTACTCAGCTAAGTCGCTTAGTTGTTATGGCTTTCAAGGTTTCCGGGTTTCGGGTGTGCGGTTTTGAGCTTTGAGGTTTGCAAGCTTCCCGGGACCAGAGGGCCCTTTGTGACCAACACGAAACGGCTTCATGCCTTCAGCAGCCATCTTAAGCCGTAAAACTTCGGGCCCTAAACCCGAAATGCCAAAAGTCCATACCATACGCTGTAAACCCGATACCATCCGGCCTTAGCTCCTGAATCCTTCAGTTATTTCTAAAGTAGCTTAGTAGTAACAATGCCATAACATTATCATAACACTCCAGCGCGCTATAAGTAGTTATAGGTATAGTTACCCTAACTATAACCCTGGTTACTAAGTCTCATGATCCTTTAAGTAACCCTAAAACCCCTCTTCTAGAACCCTTATAGATCCCTTGTAAGGAGCCCTGTAAGTAGCCCTAGCTTCTAGGTCCCATGATGCTCCCAAGAGACCCTGATCCCTAAACCCTATAGATCCCTCTAAGGAACTCTATAGATCCCTTTAAGGAGCCCCAAAAAGGAACCTAACTTACTAAGTCCCATGATCCTTTAAGTACCCATAGACCCGTATAGAACCCTTATAGAACCCTTAAAATAACCCATATAGGTACCTTAAAGGAGAATTTTTAATCCCAACTACCTTACTAAGTCCCATTATCATACAAGTAGACCCTAATCCCGAAACCCTAAAGATCCCTTTAAGGAGCCCCCAAAAGAACCTAACTTACCACGATGATCCCTTAAGTGGAGGTGATCTGGAGCTGGATCAAGAGAAGGTTGAGCCCGGAGCTGAGCTCCGCTTCCCAGGACGGAGCGCTGGCATTCTAGGGGTCATCTGGAGGCCTTATAATGACTACGGTTGATGATATAAATTCCTGCATTACCTTAAGGACCCTGAAGTATGGGAATTATGCCAAAACCTACTTGGAGGATCATGGAACTTAGTAAGTACGGTTATAAGTACCCTAATTGGGGTCATAAGTATAGTTAACCTAATTATAACCCTAGTTACTAAGTCCTATGATCCTTTAATTATCATAACTACCTGGATATTTTTTGGGTGGTTCTTTAATGTAGCTTTGGGATAATGGGCCCCAAAACCTTATTCTGATTATTACGGAACCCTATACTAATTAGTTTTGCGGTTTAACGTTTGAGGGCTTAAGAATGAAGGGCTTGAGGGTTGGGTCTGTTTATTTACGGATTTACAGCTTAAGGGTGGGTTCAGGTGTTGAGGTTTAAGGGTTCAGGGATGAGGTTTAAGGTTAGGGTGTAAGGGTCAGTGTTTAATTCCTGGTTGAGTTGAGGGCTTAGGGCTGAAGGGTTTAGGGTTTAAAGCTTAAGGGTGCAGGGTGTGGGTCGGTTGTAATTACTTGTGATCCATATGTTAAGAGTGGGGCAAAATTAGGGAACCACCCATGCAAGTATCTGAATCTCTCCAACAGTTTCGCCACTCATGTGGCATGCATTCCCAAAAGCCACCGCTACCGTTCGAGTCGCCGATGGGTTTGCGTGCAGAAGAAGAAGAAGCTGACGAAAGTCCTTGAACATGAACTGAGCGTCCGCAATCAGAAGCTAGGCTAGCCATTGCAGTATCAGCAGCTATGAGAAGCGTATTGATAAGCATCCAAGCAGCGTGCATGATTGTTTCGATAGTCGGTCTAGGTCTGGTAGAGACAATGACTAGATGGTCTTATGTGGTGGGTAGTAGACGTCTCCTCTTCGGAAATAGTCCCCAACGCAGTTATTCAACGCTCGTACGGGCCGAAGTAGCACAAAAGGTGCTCTGGAATACTTGTAATGCTCGTGAAACCGAGTGGACCAATGGCACTGGTGCTCAACACCTTTTCGTTCTCCTTCACTGATTCACTGCAGTGGTATTGCCATCGCTGAAGCACCCTTGATAACGAGTATCGCCATCCATGCTGTTATCACCAGCACCACCAGCGCCGCCGGCGCCGCCACTTCAACCAGCAGCAGCATCATCACCACTACCATCACCTTCACCATATCATCACTATCGGCATCATCATCGTCATCATCATCATCATCATCATCCTCATGACTTCATGAACATCCTTCTCAACGTCATCGTCTCGTCTCAATTCAGCAGAAGCAGCGGCAATGGCAACTCCTTCCTTCCCCCGAGGTCCGGCGACAGCAGCAAAGGCACACAGCACTTAGCCGCTGCGGCCCAGAGCACGGCTTCTAGCTCCCCGGCAGAAGATGATTTGCGGGACTCGAAGACAGTAAGGATAAGAGGAGTATGAGCAGTAGCAGTAGCACCCCCTCCTGGAGGTGGGGGGATGGCAACTATGGCTTGCCTCACAAAGATTCTTGTCCTGCGGCCCTGGTTTGCGGGAGGATGATGATGGTGATGATGATGAAGAAGATGATGTTGAAAATAATGATAGTTCCTTGCGTGTTCTGCAGCTTCTCGGATCTAGGCTAGAGTACAAGTCTAACAGGTCCGTTGTTCCTGCACACTATTAACTGCTTCGCCCGCCGGGTGTTCGCTTTCAGAGCTTGAGGTTTTCCTCCATACTGCTCCCAACGGTTTACGCGGCAGGGAGTAGTAGTAGTCGTCGTCGTCGCAGGAGTATAGGGCTCTACAGTCGTGGTAGTAGTAGTAGTAGTAGTAGCAGTAGTAGTTCCGGCATTGATGACAACGGTACCGCCGACAGTAACTGAGTACTGGGAAGAACGACATCAAGCATTACCAGGATACTTCACTAACAATAGAGACCACTAATGCCAAGGCTGTAGGGAAGCTATCATGGCCGTAGCAGTACCGACAAGGAAAAGCGGTTCTATTCGGTCTTCCGAGTTTTGGTGCGGGTAAGGGTGCTAAGGCTCCCTAAACCCTAAACCCTAAACCCTAAAACCCTGAACCCTAAACCCTAAAACCCTGAACCCTAAACCCTAAACCCTAAGGATCAAGGCTCGGGTGTGATAAATGAAGTTCCATATCACGGAGCACTAAACTTCGGCCCTGAAGCTGCCCATGTGGGAGTTTTTTCGAAAATTCGGGGGGGGGGGGGGGGGGGGGCAAATATAATAAGGATCCTACTATTTTGGGGTACTATACTAGGTCCCCTAGGTTTCGGAAACTCCCATGTGGAGCTACACGAAGTAGAGTTTACTATACTCCAACATCCGGTGCCAAACATGAAGTGCCCAGGAACCCAGCACTTTATGTAAACCCTAAACCAGGTAGCGCAGAGTCCCACGAGCAGCGCAGTGTCCATGCGGTGCACAACGAGGAACAGCTCTCGCAGCTGGTAGCGCAACCTGGACTCATTTGTCCAGGGTTCCCTGCATTTTTTCAGAGTGTTTGTGCTGCTTCGTGTCAGGATTTTGTTTTTGTTGGGGGTACCCTAAACCCTAAACCCTAAACCCTAAACCCGGTGCACTTACCAAAACCCTAAACTGTCGGTCTGGGAGTTTCCGAAAATAGGGGACCCCAAAATAGTACCCTAAATAGTTGGATCCTTATTATAAGGACCCCAAAATAAGGTACCCCTAATTTTCGGAACCTCCCATTTGGGTTTGTGTGGTTTCGGACTGAGGAGCAGGTTTCAAGATTCGCTCCTACGGCTCTTGACGCAGAGGTTTGTAATACGGAGGGTTCAGGATTTAGGTTTTAGGGTTTAGGGTTGAGGGTTTAGGATTTAGGTTTTAGGGTTTAGGGTTGAGGGTTTAGGGTTTAGGGTTTAGGTTTCAGGTTTAGGGTTGAGGGTTTAGGGTTTAGGTGTGAACAACAGGTCTTGTAGGGGTTCAGGGTTCCTGAGAAGATCCCGAGATTCAGTCACCGTCCGTCCTTAAGGCTTTGAAGTAGTTGTACCCCAATGTGTCCTAAACCCGCACACTCTACACCCGAAGCCCTAATGTAGGGGCCTCAACAACGACCTAAACAACTTTGGGGGTTCTTTGTTTTATCAGGGGCCCCCAAACCCTGTTCTACTTATCAAGGCCCCTAGATTATAGATAACACCCTAAACCCTAAACCCTAAACACTAAACCCTAAACCCGAAACCCCTAAACCTTAGGAAAGATCCCCTATAGAACCCTTTACGGGACGACTTCCGGGACGAAGCCTAAAGGGGTTTAGGGTTTAGGATTCAGAGTTTCGGGTTTGGTTTAGTACGTACCAAGGTAACTTCTTACATGGGGTTTGACATCGTGACCTTAAGGGCTACCGTAGTGGAATTATACGCGAGCTAGAAGAGGATGAGATGGAAACTGAAACCGTTTTAATTTTTGGGTCTCTTTCTCCACATTGATTGATCAGAAAAGCGGGCACCCTTATTGATATCTTTTGGCGGGACGACTGGGCTTGGCCCGACACCTCACATCCGAAAGTACCCTAAAAGGCTAAACTCACAAGCTCTCAGCATCCAGACCAGGAAGCCCTCGGACAAAAGCTGAGAAGCCCCAAAGCACTAGAGCCTTGATAGGCTCGAATTCCTGGTTCTAGTTGCTTAGGGTTGAAGGTTCGGGGTTTGGGGCTTCGCTCAGCCCTAAACCCTAAGCCCCTAGATCCTAGGCCCCAGGTTGGGGTTTGGGGTATCCCGCTTAAGCCCTCTCAAGCCCCACGAATCCTTGCTTTAGACCAAGATTGCCATAGAAACCATATCAACATCCTTCTCGGACGCCCCCGAAACCCTAACACACAGCTTTGGAACCCAATAAGCAGAGAAGACATGCTAATATGGCCCAAAGTTCAAAACAAGACTGCTACAACCATGGGGGTGTTGTTTTCTGGAGCACCAATATAGGGTCTGAATGAACAGCATGTCCCTGGAAGACCATATCCACACAAACGTAATGTTGAATAAGGATATATATATATATATGTATATATATATATATGTATATATATATATATTACATATGTATATATATATACACACACATTCACACATACCTCCATATTCCCCAAACCCTGCCTGACAAGAAAGGCACAATACCCGTAAGCCTTTATAGATACAGAGCACCGAAAGAGGCACCCTTTGAAGAGCCCCTAAACCCTAAACCCTTTGAAGCAGAAGTTTTTTTGAAACACATAGTTTTTTGAATAGGGTTTTTAAACCACAAAAAAACCCTTTGAAGCAGAATACCTTGAAGGACAAAGTTGTACATTTCTGGGAGGCTCTCCGAAGCCCCTTGCCCCGGCCCTGAGGCCCTATATAAGCCCCGAAACCCCTAAAGGCCTGCGCCCTAAATCCTATGCCCTAGACCCGAAAGCCTCAGCCCCTAAAGCCCTAAACTGGAAAGGGCCCAGGGCTCTCCAAAGAGATCCGAACAAGCCAGAACAAGACAAGGAGGTCGAAGATCAACAAGCCAAAGCGCAGCAGTGAAGGGTTTGTCTACAGGGTTTGGGTTGTGAAGGCCTTCAGAAACCCTAAACCCTAAACCCGAGAAGCTTTGTTTAGGGTTTGATCGCTTCAGGGGTTCCCGTCGTTCGAAAAAAGCGCCCAAAAGCCCAGGAATGCCAATGCTGTTTCAGAGAAGGCTGGGATCGGGGAGTGTTAGCATAGTTTGGGGCTTATCGCATAGAAGCCTGAGCAAATCGAAAAGGGTTCCTTTGCCGGCTTCTCTAAACTATATAAAGGTTTTTTGTGCGGGCTCCGATACGGGATATGTTTGGGGTCTAGCCTAGCGGGTTTGAGTAGTTCGTGCAGGGTTCCCGTAAGGGTTCCTCTACCGGGCTCGATGCGGTGTTCTACAGTGGCTGTATACAGGTTTGAGGTCTAGGGTCTTGAATAATTGCCAATGTTATTCCTTGGGATTCCTTTTATAAAGGGTTTAGGGTTTAGGGTTTCGGGACTATAGTTGCGCCCCAAAAGCTTATTTCAATTGTGAGGCCCCCGTGCGAGAGTGCTTGAAGGTATTTCCAGCCTGTCGACTCTGGTACAAGGTATGGGGTACAGGGTTAACGGTGCTGAGGTTGAAAGTCTTAGGGCTTGGGGTCCTGAGGTGTTGGGATTATGATAGGAAGCTCAGCAATAAGAGGGTTCGGTTCACCTGAGAGGTCCAGAAACTAAGGGAGCCCGGCGCAGACTTCAAATTGTAGGATCGTTGGTTTAAGTTCTTGCTGGCCGGAGCACCCCTTTCTGCCCTTTATCCAGCAAACCCCTAACCCTTCACGTAAAACCCTAGTGCATCCAAATTCCCAAGCCTGCACGCCCCAGAACCTGAAGACAGTAAAACACCTACTCCAATCCCTAAACCCCAAACCGTACCCCAACCCTAAACCCTAAACCCTAAACCTAAAACCCTAAACCCTAAACCCTAAAACCCTAAACCCTAAACCCTAAACCCTAAACCCCTAAACCCTAAACCCTAAACCCTAAACCTAACTTCAGAAACCAGAGGCCGTGTCCAACTTCTCCATCGTGGACCTCCATCTTCCAGGGGCACCTCCAAGCGACTCCCTTGTTCAGGGACTCGCCAAGGACCCGCATGTCGGGGCTTTGCGATTTTTTTTTAGAGAGTTTAGGGGTTGTTTAGGGTTTAGGGTTTTAGGGTTTTAGGGTTTAGGGTTTAGGGTTTAGGGTTTAAGGTTTAGGGTTTAGGGTTTAGGGTTTAGGGTTTGAGGTTTAGGGTTTAGGGTTTTCGGGTTTAGGAGTCATGTGGGTTCTTGGCTGAAGGACTCGGTTTTGGCGGCTCGCAGGTTTTCGGGGGCATTTGATGGCTTGCGGCGGGATCTCTGGACACTTCGCAGAACCCAGAGACTCCAATATCCCTTAATTAAGGAATATACCTTCAACTATAGTAGGATCCCTAATATGATTTAAGGTATATTCCTTAATTAAGGGATATTGGAGTCTCTGGGAAGGCTTGAAGCTTTGGAACGAGCTTTACACGGCGGTTTTGCAAACGTCAGTGGGATGCCGTTCTCGCGGGCTGGTTTACTTTTGGTAAAGAACCTGCCGTAAACCTTCCTACCCTAAACCCTAAAGCCCAAGCCCCAAAGTTTGAACCCTAAACCCCAAACCCTAATCCCTAAACGCTACTAAACCCTAAGACCCAACGCTAAAGCCTAAACCCTAACCCCCTTTAAAGGGATCTATAAGGGATCTATAAGGGATCTATAAGGGTTTAGGATATAAGGGTCCATGTACCCAAAAAGTATATACTTTGGCCCCTCCCTAACCCCCCCGAACCTTCGTCTCCTCCTTTGTGCCTCTGCGGCGGCACCCGAGCCCCAATCGCCTCATCTCCGAACCCTCAACCCCCCACGGCACCCCCCGACACTCAGGACCCCAAGACTCTTTGGGGTTCGAGGTTTTGGGCTTAATTGCAGTGGTTTATAGGGTAGTCCAAGGTATGATTTGTATGACATTGTCACATTTCTAGGTTTAGGTCTTCATTTGTAGGTTTGTCTAAGGTATGATTTTATGACATCATGCTGTTTTTTTTATAGTGTTGGAGAGGGTTTAGGGCTTCGGGAACACTGACCTTGAAGTCTGCCAGGAGCTTCATGGCGGGACTACCGTGATCATGTACAAGCTCGGAGATGGCATCTGTGTCATATTTGTGTAACATTCTACAATTTTATGGGTGCTTAATACTTAAGCCCAAGATAGAAATTCCCTAAACCCTAAAACCCCCTAGCCCCCTAAACCCTAAACCCCTAAACCCTAAACCCCTAACCCATAAACCCCTAAACCCCGAAACCCCTAAACTCCTAAACCCTTAAACCCCGTAAACCTAAACCCGATCCCAGCCATGGACCAGGCATGGGCAGCGATCCGAATGCCCCCAAGGAGATGACCCCCGAGGAGAAGGAGGAGGCGGAACCCTGCAAGAGAAGGGGGTTTCGAACAACCAGTATAGGGTTTAGGGTTTAGGGATTTAGGGTTTAGGGCTTTAGGGTTTATCGATTTAGGGATTTAGGGATTTAGGGTTTAGGGTTTAGGGGTTTAGGGGTTTGGGTTTAAATTATTTAGGAGCCTTGTGTTCCCTTTAAAGGGATCCTTAAAAGTCGGGTCCGTAAGGGATCTACAACACGGTTTCAAACAACCAATATAGGGTTTAGGGTTTAGGTTTAGGGTTTGTTTCAAAGAACTAATATTGATGCATAATGTGTGGGCCTTGACAATTAGAATAAGGTTCCTGTAAAGGGGTGTGTAAGGGTAGTATCTATAATAGCGTACTAGAATACAGGCGCCGAAATAATTATCAATACTAGTTCAGGGGTTCCTTATCATACTTATAGTATCATGGGCCCCAAAACCAAGTTATTAAGGCCCCTATGTTAGTTATAACGCTGGCGTAGTATTGATAAGATTATCACAAACGGATATCAAGCCTTGCATTTATGGAGAATCTTAAACCCTAAACCCTAAACCCTCAACCTAACTTTATAAAAAAAGCCACCAAAACCCTCAACCTAACTTTAAAACAAAACCCAAAACCCTAAACCCCAAACTTTTCAGCCTATTCAGGCCCCGGATCGTAGGATCTTTTTGGTATTTGGGGGGAGGGGGCATCTGTTGCGATTCGAGGGGCTTCGCGTCGAAGGTGGAGGCCTGGGATTTTGTTAACGACGGGTCTGCACTGTTACAAAAGTGGGGTTAAAAGCAGTTTTTAAGTAAAGTTACCCGAATTATAGCCCTAGTTACTAAGTCCCATGATCCGTTAAGTAGATTGAGGGTTTAGGGTTCAGAGGTCGGGGTTTGAGTTCAGGGTTTCGGGTTCAGTGGTCAGGGTTTGGGTGTGGGGTTTAGGGTTTGGGATGTAGCACAACGTCCTGCATCCTCCACACTACGGAGTGCACCAGAATCCTGACGTGAGGGTGTCGCAAGCAATGCGGCAGTATTGATAAACCATGACCTGCAAACCCGAAATCCTATCCTCTAGACCCAAAGCCCCTTGGTTGGATCTTTGCAGAGAAGGCCCACTACACTCAAAAAAAAAAAGACCCAAAGCCCCGAAAACTTCGATCTACAAAGACCCTGTGCCTGAAGCCCTGAACCCTGAAACCCCAGATCTGAAACCCTGGCTACCTGAGTGGGCTTCCCGCACTCTCCGACATCTTCGCCCAAAAAGATCAGGGTTTAGGGCTTAGGGTTCAGGGTTCAGGGTTTAGGGTTTAGGGTTCAGGGTTTAGGGTTCAGGGTTTAGGGTTTAGGGTTTAGGGTTCAGGGTTTCGGGTTTCGGGTTCAGGGTTTAGGGTTTAGGGTGTAGGGTTTGGGCAGGCAACTTCAGGGGGGTCTCCCTGACTGAAGCTGCAAAGCCCTCAACCACCCGAACTTGAAGCCCCACCACCCTACACCCTAAACCCTAAGACTATCAACCCCAACCCCCCTAAACCCTAAACCCTAAACCCTAAACCCCTAAGCCTTAAACCCAAAAGCCTCGCAGGTCAGCAAAGCCAACGGAGGGAAAGGTGATTCGATGCTTACCTCAGCTTGGAAGCACATCCGGGAGATTCGCGCCAATAGTGGCAACGTGGTGGCTTGGCCATTTCTTGGTTTAGCTGAACCCTAAGCTTAACCCCCCAATACTATAGGGGCCTTAAACAATTACCTATACTATTTCGTGGACTCCTTATCGTAGTTATAGTACCCTATTCTAACTGTCCAGGGGCCCTTATATTACCATGGTGAAACCAGTGTCTGTTTAGGAACGATGTCAGGAAGCCGGGACCTGTGAAGAAGAAGTATCAGTTCATGGTTTGGGGTTTGGAGTTTAGGGTTTAGGGTTTCGGGATCACACGACCCTCCGTGAAGCAGGATCTTACTCCTGATGTTGGGGCCGGAGCAAGTTTGTAATGTGATTCCTCCGAATTCTTCATCATGTTTATACCATCAGAGGAACCAACACCAACTCTAACCATTAAGGCCTCCACATAACTAATGTGCCTCACAAGGCTCTTGCAAATATCAAATGCCCTCTGTTTGTTAGCCCTAATCTGAGCCAGCCTCCACAAAACCCTAAGCCCAAGACACCGGAATCCTAAACCCACAATCGCAAAACTCCAAAGCACCAAAACCCCAGAACCCCAAAGCCACGACCCAAAGCCCAGAACCCAACAGCCCAAACCCTGAACCCTAAACCCTAAGCCCTCAACCCAAAAATCCCTATAAGCCCTAAACCCTATAAACCCCTAACCCCCTAAACCCTAAACCCTAAACACCCTAAACACCCTAAACACCCAAAACCCCTAAACATCCCAAACACCCTATAAACCCGAAGCCTCCTAAGCCCTAAACCCTGCTTGAGCTTTGAAGCGGCACTCTGGGCCACGATCTGGGAGTTTCCGATAATGGGGGACCCTAATATAGTACCCTTAAATCGTAGGGTCCTTATCATAAGGACCCCTAAATAAGGTACCCCCCTATTTTCGGAAACTCTAAACCCTAAACCCTTTATAGAACCCTTATAGATCCCTTAAAGGAACCCTTAAAGGACCCCCAAATAAGGTACCCCCTATTTTCGGAAACTTTCATCTCCCAGAGCAAGCAGAGGATCCCCCCAGGCACCGAATCCAGAGGGGCCTGAGGACCCAGAGACTCCAATACCCCTTAATTAAGGAATATACCTAGGGTTTAGGGTTCCCTTTAAGGGAGACTCCAATACCCCTTAATTAAGGAATATACCTAGGGTTTAGGGTTCCCTTTAAGGGATCTATAAGGGATCTATAGGGTTTAGGGGATCCTAATACCCCTTAATTAAGGAATATACCTAGGGTTTAGGGTTCCCTTTAAGGGATCTATAAGGGATCTATAGGGTTTAGGGGATCCTAATACCCCTTAATAATTAAGGAATATACCTTCAACTATAGTAGGATCCCTAATATGATTTAAGGTATATTCCTTAATTAAGGGATATTGGAGTCTCTGGGGAATTGGAGCATAAAGGGTTTAGGGAGGGTTTAGGGTTTTGGGGTTTAGGGTTTAGGATTTAGGGTTTAGGGGTTTAGGGTTTAGGATTTAGGGGTTTAGGGGTTTAGGGATTTAGGGATTTTGGGGGTTTAGGGGTTTATGGGTTTAGGGTTTAGGGGTTTAGGGTTGAGGGTTTCAGGGTAGTTTTGTAGATGTATAATGAAAGAGGAAGGTGAAGCCGCAGAGTGCAGAGGTTTTTTGGGATATCTCTCTAGCAGATCTATACGCAGGAACTCAGAGGACTAGTGTCCAGAGGCCACGTCTCCTTGGCGTAAGTAGTCTCCTTTTCCCGACAGTAGTCCTAAGCCATACGCCATAAGTCCTAAACCCAACATCTTAAACGAGAAACTCAGTGGTGGACCTTTGTTGAAAATCCATGCCTCGCTTCCCGTCCTGGGCCCCCCTTGCCAACATTCCCAAGGTGGCAAGTGTTGTGAGTGTGGTGGATCCGGAGAACTGCTTGACCAAGCTACTGTACCTGCGACTTGTCTGACCTAAAGTCCGCCCAGTAGTATGCTCATGGCCTTAATCCTAAAACTCGAGACCCCTAAGCCCTAAGCTAAACCCTAAACTCGAAACTCTGAACCACAGTCCGGACAAGAATGGCGGGGATGCTGCAGCTGCCGCTAAGTTAAAAGAGCTGGCTTCGTGCTCTGTTGTTTTTTGAGAAGTGTTCGTGGATCCGACAGACAGGAAGCTGAAGGGTGGATATGGGAGTTTCCGAAAATTAGGAGACCTAATATAGTACCCCAAATAGTAGGATCCTTATTATAAGGACCCCCAAATAAGGTACCCCTAATTTTCGGAAACTCCCATATAGGGTTGAAGGATTCCGCTGCGTATCCGAGGCTGTACAGATTCAACGATGAGGACGACTATCCCTACTTCCCTCGCAAGCTCGGGGCTTGTGATATCGGCTGGAACTTTCAGACCGGTTCTGTTGCAGGGGGAGTTTTCTGAATGGGGCCTTAGGCACCCTGTCGATCGAGTCGCCGTGGAGTCAAAAGAAGCCGGAGTTCCAGCTTCATGATTAACGCAAGATGCCTAAACTGTGACGTGGTACTGCACTGGACGTTCCATGCACCTAAGCAAGCCAGATCCGAGACATGATGCCATGAAAGATTGAAGGTGCTGAGATGCTAGTGGCAGCACCCACATACCGTAAACCCCCCAAAAAGCAAAAACCCGGAATCACCATTCTTCAAGAGCGAACCCCACACCCGAACCAATCCAGAATAGGCGACTAAGTAAAGTAGTCGTAGACGGAGTCGTCGTCGTAGTCGTAGTCGTAGTCGTAGTCGTAGTCGTAGTCGTAGTCGTAGTAGTAGTAGTCGTCGTAGTAGTAGTAGTAGTAGTAGTCGTAGTCGTAGTCGTAGTCGTAGTAGTAGTAGTAGTAGTAGTAGTAGTAGTAGTAGTAGTAGTAGTAGTAGTAGTAGTAGTAGTAGTAGTAGTAGTAGTAGTAGTAGTAGTAGTAGTAAGAGTAGTAGTAGTAGTACTAGTAGTAGTAGTAGTAAATAATACTAGTAGTGCTACGACTAGTATTAGCAGTCGTAGTAGTAATAGTAGTAGTAGTAGTCGTAGTAGTAGTAGTAGTAGTAGTAGTAGTAGTAGTAGTAGTAGTAGTAGTGGTAGTAGTAGTCGTGGTAGTAGTAGTAGTAGTAGTAGTAGTAGTAGTAGTAGTAGTAGTAGTAGTAGTAGTAGTAGTAGTAGTAGTAGTAGTAGTAGTAGTAGTAGTAGTAGTAGTAGTCGTGGTAGTCGTATCAGTAGCAGCAGCAGTAGCAGTAGCAGTAGCAGTCGCAGTCGTAGTCGTAGTCGTAGCCGTCGCAGTAGCAGTAGCAGTAGCAGTCGTAGTCGTCGTAGTATGCGCCCTTACGGCCCCCATAGGATGTAGCTATAATTTAACACTCAAAACCCTATCCTAATCATTCAGGCAGTGAACATCAAACAGGGGCTCGAATGATCACCAATACTATTGCTTCGAAGCCCTGTCGAATACAAGTGGTTTAGGGTCTGGGGTTTGGGATAAGCATAGCTCGCTGTTCGGCTCCAGATTTACTGGTAGTGTCGCTCGTGGCTTATTGGAAGCCTGGCTTGGATACTTCCTCTCATGGCAGCACTAGTGAGATAGTCTTACAACGCCAGTATGATTAGTAAATGCAGTTCCTGTGACAGCATAGACCACCAACCTATGCATCGGAATCTACGGCAGCAAAACCTCAACGCCTGTCAAGTCCTGCTGCGGCGATACTAAGCCGCAAATCAGTGCCGTTCCGCGGGCCTTTAAGATCGACGGTTTGAAGTCCCAGATTTAGTCTCTGATTTGGCAAATCAGTGACTAAATCTGGGACTTCAAACCGTCGATCTGAAAGGCCCGCGGACTGGAGCATGGCAACATGTCGGTTGATGTCGTGGTTGGACTGGTCACTGGGAAAACCGCCGCAGTGCAAGCCGCCTTGGATGAGACGGTGGGAACGCTGAAGCGGCGGGCACAGAATGCACTGGGAGTCGGGATGGGGTCGCTGCTGGACTCATCTGGATGTTTCCTCGATGGATGTGCGCCGATCAAGAAGGCCAGGGTGCGGAATGGTGACCGACTGACAATGTTGCGCACAAGCAGCATTCAAGTTCAAGCCTCTTTCGGCGCCTTGGCTGCCATTCTTGGTGATGGGTCTGTTGTGACCTGGGGTGATCCTGAGTACGGTGGTGACAGCAGTCGTGTGCAAGACCGTCTGAAGGATGGGCAGCAGGTCCAGGGCACTGACTGTGCCTTTATGGCCATTCTGGACGATGGATCTGTCGTGACCCGCGCGCGAAGATTACGGTGGCGACAGCAGTGCTGTGCAGGATCAGCTCAAAAACTTGCAACAGATTCAATCTTCAGGCGGCGCCTTTGCTGCCACTCTTAGCGATGGATCGGTTGTCACCTGGGTTGAGGCCAATGCTGGTGGCGACAGCAGTTCTGTACAGGAACCATTGAAGAACGTGCAACAGGTCCAAGGCGCTGATTCTGCTTTTGCTGCCATTGTTGGCGATGGATCCGTTGTGTCCTGGGGCAACGCTCCGGAAGGTGGCGACAGTAGTGCTGTGCAGGATCAGGTCAAGACTGTGCAGCAGGTCCAATGCACTGAGGCAGCTTTTGCTGGCATTCTGGACGATGGTTCGGTTGTGACCTGATCGCTAAGAAGATTTGCTCGAAAGCTGAGCAAGTGGATTGAATCTGCTTCACATTCTTGAGCTGATTCTGCACGGAATGGCTAGTTCCGTGCAAAATCAGCTCAAGAATCTGAAGCAGATTCAATCCACTTGCTCGGCTTTCGCTGCTTACGATAGCAATGCTCCTGAGTATATTACAAATTAGTGCTCGCGGGTGCCAACAAGCGTCGCGAAGACACGCGTGCCTTCTCCCGGAATCGGTTTCGTTGCACGCGGGCAAAGATTCCGGGGCCATTCTGGGATGTCACTCTGCACACACCCAGAACCGTACTCGCGGATTCATACACTCCTAAGCCTCAGATTCCTTTTGTCGGGGTTTAGGGTTGCCCTCAAGTCAACAACACCCCAATCTAGGGACGTAAAGACAAGAATAGCGTTTAGGTTCAACAGGGAATCAGTAGAATAGGGTTCCTTTAGCTGGTGCAATGATACGGTTCCACTAGGACCACCATGCAAGTATGAGGGCCTAAATCATTATTAGGGTTTGGGTGAGGCTCAGGGAGAAGAATGACCTTGAGAGCAACCCCTAAATCCTCACAATGAAATCTTTGAACCTAAACCTCAGAACCTAAACCTAGCTCCCTGAACCCCAAGCCCGTAACTCTAAACCCTGAACCCGAAAGCCATTCCCCAAACATCGGGCAGGCCGTGCGACGGGGTGTGAACATCTCGGCTTCGATCACGACGCCCATGTGCCAGCCCAGTTTTCATTGGCTTCAGCACTACAACCATCTACAGTGGTTCAAGGAACTACAACAATCCATAATGGTGCCAACCGAATTTTCATTGGTTTCAAGTGTCGCCTCGGCGCGTTCTTTTTTCGAGGTTTCTTACAAGCAACTGTATAAGGGTTTCCATAGCAGTTCTGCAGCCATCTATACTAGTTCTACGAGGGGTTCTACAAAGGAGCTACAAAAAGCTCTAGTGGTTCCAGGAGGGGTTGTGTAGGAGATCTACAAGATCCCCAATACTTCTGGAAAGGAGCCTATATTGGTTATGCATCCGTCATAGGTCCAAAAAGGGTGTCCATAATCTATTTCGATTCTTTGCCTTTCCTGAGCTTCTGCACATGGGCTGTTCGTTACCCTTATAACAAGGACCCCAAAATAGATTCCAATTTAGAGAGCTACCCACATCGCAAAGCACGAAGCCCCAAATCCTACTCGGCCCCGGTTTCGGGTTTACGTGACGCTCGGCCGGGGGCGGAGGCGGATATAAAGAAGTTTCAATAGGCTCGATATATAATTCTACTCCTAGAAGCAGAGCATAGAAGCTCTCCCAAACCTTAGCTTACTTATATAGTTCAGGCTAAAAGGTATCCTCTTTCGAGATCGGGCAGGTTGTTGGAATGCTTCTTTGCAGAAGGAGGAATGCTTACATTAGGCTTGGGGCGTAGGGTCTTCGAGGTATGGGGGTTGTGAAGTTGTAATAATTCAGGGACTCAAACGGCCTGATGTTTGAGTCCCGGACCTTCAACAACATCCGGCTCCTGCACGCTCTGGGTTGTTGGGGTTCAGGGTCTGCCCCCAAACTCCAGGCCTACCCCAAAGCCTGAACACTAAGAGGAGCAAAGCAAAGCAACCCTGAAACGCCAAACCCTAAACCCCAAAACCTTATAAACCCTAAGCCCCAAAACCCTAAACCCCCTTCAAGGACCCCAAACACCTGGAACCCCAAGTTCTAAACCCCAAACCTTAAAAGAATCCCACAAGCTTGAAGATTTATGCCCCAAACCCGAAAAAAACCCAAACCCTAAACCCTCGAAGGAATCCCAGAGGCCCAAAGCCCTAAACGCCAAACCCTTCAAGGCACCCTACATCCCAAAGACCCTGAGCCTTCAAAGGAATCCCAACTTTCAAAGACTCTTTAAACTCTAAACCCCAAAACTTTCAAAGGAACCCCAAATTCCACAGACTCTTCAAACTCTTAGCCCTCAACTTTCAAAAAATCCCAGAGCCCCAAGACCCTTTGAACCCAAAACCCCCAACCCCCACAGGAATCCCAAAGCCCGAAGACTTCTTAACTCTCTCCGGGAGCAAATGAGCCGCGCCCGGCGCCTCCTCCGCCGCGGCCTCCTTGAGCCAGCTGGGCGCGGACAGGGCCGAGGCGCCTCTTAATCAGGGCTTGCTGCATAGAGTTTCGGCTTTGAGGTTCGGCTTTGAGGTTCAGGGTTTAGGGTTTAGGGTTGGGGGTTCAGGGGTTGGGGGTTCAGGGGTTAGGAGGGTTTGGACAGGCTCTTGTGGGTGTCTGTTCTTGTATAATTGACTTGCTTATTATAAGTTGTATTGTCATGATAGCGATTGTGGGTCACGGTTCAATTTCATGATTACGGTGCTCTACATGTGTTTTTTTTTGTGTTTTTTGGGTCAGTTTGCATACTACTAAGACTTTGCCGTTTGCCATTGATTTTGGAACACTTACTTTGGTTTAGGATGTTTTGTTCGGGGCAGTGTAAAGCCTTCAGACAGACGGGGAGCACAAGGTTTCGGGTTCCGGTGTCGGTGAGGTGGACCGTTCCTTTTGAGGTTAAGTAAGGGAAATTCAGGGCAATGGAGAAAAGGCCCGGTCTGCGTAGAAGAGCGTTGAGAATGAGGGTTTAGGATGCCGGACCCGACCCTAAACCCTAAACCCTAAACCCCAAGCCCTAAACCCTAAACCCTAAACCCTAAACCCTACGCCCTAAACCCTAAACCCTAAACCCTAACCAGAGCAGGAGGACTAGCAGGTTGATTGTGGGAGTTCATATCAGTTCCAGGGGCCGGTAGGCACTTTAGGATGGGTTTAGGGTTTTAGGGTTTAGGGTTTTAGGGTTTAGGGTTTTAGGGTTTTTAGGGACCCTAAACCCTTAGGGTTGAGGTTGGGTTTAGGATGAGGGATTGAAGGATCGGAGTGCTGGCTGGCATAAGTCTTCCGGGCCGGCCCGGGGCGGCCTTGGCCACCAAACCCTAAAGTACGGGTTTAGGGTTTAGGGTTTAGGGGTTTAGGGTTTGGGGGTTTAGGGTTTAGGGTTTGGGGTTTAGGGTTAATCCGGGAACTACACTTTCTGTCAATCTTCCTGTGTAGTTTCTAGGTAGCAACTTCTAGTACCATAGCGAGCAACAAGAACTATTTCAACAACAACGACGACGACGACTACGACTAAGCTGACCGGCCACCCACCCCCACCCAGCTGCCAACTACGCTTGTCAAACCAGGGTTCTGGAAGCACGAGTTTGCAAAGTCGACAATGGATTTTGAAGCAACAAGAAGTGGTAGGACATCACGAAAGTAAAGTACACACCGAGTAAGATGCATGTGTGCGCTACAGTGTCGTCAGTACCCCCTCCGCGTGACTACATCTCCTCCTAGCTAGGGGCACCGTGGCAGTCTGGCGACGCTACCGAGGTGGGCAGTTGGCCCAGGGACGAGGGCAAGGGTTTCGGGCAGCAATACCGACATGTACTCCACTAAGGCCTAAAGCCTAGACCCCAAATCCTACATCCCCTCCTAGGGTGGGGGCCCTTTCTTGTTTAGGGTTTACGACGCCAACAGGGTTTTGTTGTTTTACAGTGTAGGGAGCCAGGGGTCCTCGCCATTCCTCGCCTAAGGCTAGCAGTCCACAAAAGGCAAAGAAAGCTTCAAGAGGAAACGAGCGTGTCTTCTTATCGGACATCCCACATAAGTCCGTAAACCCAGGAATCGAAGGAGCCAAACAAACACTAGACAACATGGCCTAAATTTTGACTCCTTGGGGTTTTAGGAGTCTGGGGTGTGGGGTCCAGTGGTTTCGGGAACCCCCGCCCTCAGCCTGAAGCCCTGAACTCAGGTGTCGTGTTTATGCTTCGAAGTTAGTTTAGCATTTGGGCACATAGACTTTCAGATGCATGATGGGAGTTTCAGGGTGCCAGAAGCGACCGAAAAAGCCGGGAACGTTTGGAGTTTGGATTTTCTCACTTGCAAGTTGTTGCTGCAGGATTAAACCGGGTTTGGGTTGAGAGGCTTTATGTGGCATCGAAGCATGCGGTTCACACCCTACACTGGATTCTTGTGAAGGAGTTTGATTAAGTTACCATAGTTGGGATCTACATGCAAATGATATGGTCTATTATGGTATTATGGTAACCTGGTAACTTATACTAAATCCTTCAACAAGAGCCCCGTAAATTACCAAACCTGCAGACTCTGCCCGAGAGCTCCTCTCGTGTAACCCTAAACCCGAAGTCTCGAAGTTAGAGGCACCGAGGACCGAGAATTGAGATGACGGCGGATTTCGTCAAGACCAGGGCCCCCCTGGGGTTCCCAAACTATACTGAAAGGATCATGGGACTTAGTAACTAGGGTTCCTTAAAGGGTCCCGTAAAAGGGATCTATAAGGGTCTTATAAGAGGGGTTTTAGGGTTACTTAAAGGATCATGGGACTTAGTAACCAGTGTTATAATTGGGTAACTATACTTATAACTATTTACAACCCCAATTAAGGTACTTCTAACCGTACTTACTAAGCCCCATGATCCTCCAAGTAGGGTACCGCATCACAGAGTAGAAGTATATGGGTGGTTGTCAAAATTGGGGTCCCTTTTTGGGTACCCTAAATATTAGGTGGGTGCCGTGTTATATTAAGGACCCAAAAAGGGACCATAATTTTGACAACCACCCATGTAGGCCAACAGTTGATGTTGGTCAAGCCCTCAACCGTTTGAGTACCCGGTGGGAGTAGCGAAGGACGTGGTTGAGAGCTTGAGGGCTTGGAGAGCTTCCCGATGCACTCGTACGAGAGCGCACCTTCAAGCCCTTGCTGGAGAGACCGTCTGAAGACCTCCCAAACCGAACAAACCCTATGGTTTTGGGGCATGTTCTGGTACAGCCATAGACGGCCCTTAGGGGGGAATTTGTTACGACTAATTACGCAGACCCTGCGCCTTGAACTCTAGCGACCTGAAACTGCAGAGCCTTTGCGGCGGTTTAGGCCCCATGTCTGCTAGAGGGATTTGTATGGTCAGGAATTGGTGGGTAGGGTCCTACTTGATCTCAAACCTTACGGTAAACCCTATAACTCACATTCAAGCTTCCAGAGCATCCACGGTACAAGAAAAGTTTCGAGCCTTCACGAAAGATCGTTTAAAGCCTTGCTCGAATGACAATATTCTCCGATTGAAGCATTTTGCTGAAGGTTGTGCTGAAGGAGTTCTGTCGTCAGCAGCTTTGGCAGCAGGCGCTGCAGAAACTTTTTGAGGCCAGTGCACCGGGTTGCTCAAGGTTTCAGTGTTCCTTTAAGACGCTAAGGTTTCCTAACCACAAGTCTAACAAAATGTGTCCCAAAGCCCTATTCTAATTATCACGGCCCGTATAGTAGGGCTCTTTCCAGGGATCCTTTATTCTGTTGGATCTTGCAGTTTTGCATTAAGGGGTTATGGTTTAGGATTTAGGGTCCAGGGTTTAGGGTTTAGGGTTTAGGGGTTTAGGGGTTTAGGGTTTAGGGTTTAGGGTTTAGGATTTAGGGTTTAGGGTTTAGGGTTTAGGGGTTTACGATTAGCTGGGCTAAGAAATCACTAGGCCAGCAGTGTAGTAGTAAAAAACCCACCCGCCCAAAGAATCCCAAAACATTAGGAAAATATACAGTTTCTTCCTACACCCTAAAGGCCAACCAAATATGCCCTAAACCCTAGAAGCCACTACTATACTCTAAAACTCGCTAATTTGGCATTAATTTTGCAGTGTCACTTCATTCATAGCTTATCACTAGTATCACCGAACGTTACACAACATTAACGGAATGAATGCCCTTTGGGGTGGTCGTGCGGGCCCCCGAGAGACCCAAACCACTAATTTGGCAGTGTTCCGGAACACACTGCCAAATTAGTGGTTTTTGTCCCTGCGGGGTGGTCGCGCAGGCCTTTCAAAAATCCCAAACCACTAATTTGGCAGTGTTCAGGCCGGACACACTGCCAAATTTGGCAGTGTTCAGGCCGGAACACACTGCCAAATTAGTGGTTTTTGTCCCTGCGGGGTGGTCGCGCAGGCCCCCGAGGGACCCAAACCACTAATTTGGCAGTGTTCAGGCCGGAAAGCACTGCCAAATTAGTGGTTTTGGTCCCTGCGGGGTGGTCGCGCACGCGCCCGAGGGACCCAAACCACTAAGGCCATTAACCTTTAAATATACATTTGAAAGAGAGGTTTAGGGGTTTAGGGTTTAGGGGTTTAGGGTCCAGGGTTTAGGGTTTAGGGGTTTAGGGTTTAGAGTGTGTGGGGCTCCCCAGCATTCGAGGAGGTAACCTTTAATCACAGCTCGGCCTTTGCCTTGTTGCTTCCGGGTTGATGATATGAATCCTGCATTACCCATAACAAGAAATATACAATTATTCCCATAGTTTAGGGTCCTCAAGGTAATGCAGGATTGATATCATCAACAGTTCCCGCCAAACTTCTGAGCCTAATTCGCACATCTCGTCTCCCGGCTTGCGCCGGGGGACGCAGCTTATATCATGTCCACGCTCTAGGTACTCTAACGCCTATATGGACGGTTGTCAAAATCATGGCACCTTTTTGGGTCCCCATTACAATACGGCACCTATTATTTAGGGTACCCAAAAATGGACCCTAATTTTGACAACCACCCATATAGTTCCAAAGGTTAGCCTTTCAATCTGCAAGCAGGGTTCCTAAACTGCCTACGTAGGCCCCAAGCACCTAAACCTTAGGGTTGGTTGTTTAGGATTCAGGGTTCATGGGGTTGGGTTTAGGGTTTTTAATTTCGGGGTTTAGGGTCAGTCATCGTTGCGCTGTATTGTAGTATCTCGCACGTATCCAAGGGTCCAAGCGGTGTTCATGGAAATTCCAGGATTCCGAAGCCTCGATCGTTCAAAATGGCTGTGATTTTTTGAAGATTTTGACGCGAGCCCGGATAGCTGAAGCCCTTCCCGACACGCCAAACACCAAACCCTGAGCCAAACATGCGACGGAAAACAAGCACGGAGGCACCGCCGCAAAATGTGCTGGCATGGGGAAACGTCATCGGTGCCGCTTTCTTGCACTGCGACGGACTCCTGAACAGGGGTTTTGTTCAGGTCTCGCAGCCTGTTGTCTCGGGTTTCAGGATCAGTGCTTTGGAGGTTCCTTCTTGTTCTCTAAAATCCAAATCGCGAGTCATGCGAGAACCTCAAACCCTGAACCCTAAACCCTAAACCCTAAATCCTAAAACCCTGAAGCCCTGAACCCCGAAACCCTGAACCCTACACCCGAAAGGCTTAAAGCCCTCAACCAACAACCGAAGGTTTTGAGTGAGAGCTTCGACGCACATCCGCACGCTCCCGAAGCCCAAACTCAAACTCTTGATTCGATTCACAGCATCTCAAGTTCAAAGCAGTTCAGGGTTTTGTAGTTTAGGGGTTCATGGTTTTGGGGTTCGGGGTGTCGGGGTTTAGGGGTGTTGAGTTTAAGTTTTCTTGGTTAGGCTGTAGGAGGGGTGTTGAGTTTAAGTTTTCTTGGTTAGGCTGTAGGAGTTTCAGTGTTTGGGGTTGCGGTTTAGGGTCCTTAATCTCTCAGCCCTACACCATGATTGAGCCCCACCAAAGCCGCACAATCCCGACACGTTCTGGGCCTTGGAAACATCCAAACGCCTGCCAACCCAGCTCCTTAAAGCACGCGCGATGCAGTAAAGCGGAAAAGCCCAGCTCTTTCGTCTTATTTTCCATATCGATGTACTGGTGGTTTAAAATCAGACATCCCTGAACCCAACGCCCTCAACCCTAACCCTACACCCTAAACTAAACCCTAATCTGCAGAACCAGACATCCGGCCCTCTCACAAGAAGCCCATGACGAGCCCCAGTCTACCATAACCTACGGTACTATGTCATACTACACTATAATCTACTATACCTTAGTTCAATATACCCAAACCCGAAACCCTAAACCTTAAGCCCAAAATCCAAAACCCGAAACCCTAAACCCAAATTCCCAAAACCCTAAACCCTAAACCCAAAACCCAAAACCCCTAAACTCAAAACCCGAAGCACCATCGCGAGAGCTTTTCCTGGCCCAGGCCTGCGGCCGAACCATCTCATGGCGTGAGGCTCTTCTTCTCCTCCAGCGCATGCCAGGAGAGCAGGCCAGGATTCGGGGAGTCGGGGATTGCGGGGATTCGGGTCAGGGTTTATAGGGCTTAGAGGGTTTATAGGGTTTGTAGGGTTTGTAGGGTTTATAGTGTTTATAGGGTCTATAGGGTCTATAGGGTTTAGATGTTTAGGGTTTAGGGATTCGGGTTTAGCGTGTTTTTGTTTTGTGGCGTCGGGTTTCTATTCTGGAGTTTATAGGGTTTTTTGGGCTTATAGGGTTTAGGGCCAGGGGTTCAGGGTTTAGGGTTTCAGGGATTTGAGGTTTTGTGCTTTTCCCGGCTACCAAGGTTTCCGGGTTTGAGGCTTTTGAGGGTTCAAACTTCAAGCAAGCATGTTTTTCAGGCCGGGCATTTCGGATGGTCGTTTTTTTTAAAAGACCTTTCGGAAAACGTAAACCTAAACCTTAAACCATAGCAACCCTAAACCCCAAGCCCTTAAATCCTAAACCCTTAAACCCTAAAACGCCCCAAACCAGAAGTTTTGTTTCAGGGTCCTTCGCAATCTTCGAGCTCCCTAACAGGCTTGAGGGTTTAGGGTCTTAAGGTTCAAGGTTTACTAGGTGGCAATTTGGGAAACTTTTTAATTTCCCTTATGGTTCCTATAGGGGTACCTATTCATAAATGCTTTTCAGAGCCACAAAACTACAACCCAGTTTAGGGTTTAAGGGTTTAAAGGTTTAAGGTTTCGGGGTTTAGGATTTAAAATGTGAGGTTCGGGGTCTCAGATTTAGGGTTTAGGTTGAGTACGGCCCCCACTCAGCAATAGTTGATTAATATTCATAATATAGATTTTAGTAGGACCTCAATAGTAGCCCAATTATAGACTCTTACTGTATGGGGGCCGTACCTAAGGTTTAGGTTTTAAACCCTGAACCCTAAACCCCAATACCGAGCCCTAGGCCCCACTAGTAGTTTCGGGACGCGGGTAATCCGCGCATCGCCCAGGTTGTGCCGAATATCGTGACGCTGGCCTGCAAGAGCCGAACAGCTGTGGTATGTGATGCCATGTTATGTTATATCATATTGTACTATTAGACTGTTCTGCTTTTTGCTACGGTATATTTATGTTTTTTTACTTTGCATTCCATTACATTAGATGAACTATAGTTGGTTTAGGAATGAGAGTATACAAATTCGGGTTTGGGATTTCGGGTTTAAGATCTTCCATAGAGTGTAAGTTTAGTAAGTAGGGTTGTGGAAGTAGGGTTTCGAAAATAAGGCGTCAAGTTTAGGCGTGTGATATAGGCTGCACAACTGCCGGAGCACTGAAGCCTTTAAGCTGCAAGCTTCAAACCCCTAAGACCCTCGCAGAAATAGTGTTTAGGGTTTAGGGTGGCGTGAAATCCTGAACTCTAAAGACAAAAAATCACAGGAGCCAGCTCAAGCGGCGAGGAGCTAAGCTTCGATTTGTCTCGAACTGGTGAGAATCAGAGGCTGGTGTGGACCAGGAGGTATGGCTCCGAAGCCGTCGTCTGCACTAACACTTCTACTCATACTGACAGGAAATCCCATACTCCGACCACTACTTTAATTTCAAGGCTAATACCGGCAATACAGAAATAACGCGGTAATGGTAACGAGGGTAGCACTCGTACTACTCTACTACTACTACTTCTACTACTACTACTACTACTACCACTACCACTACCACTACAACAACTACAACTACAACTACAACTATAACTATAACTATAACTATAACTATAACTATAACTATAACTACAACTACAACTAGAACTACAACTACGACGACGACTACTACTACGCCGGCTGCTGCTGCTAGTACGACGACGACGACCACTACAACTACAACTACGGCTACAAATCACGACAATAATGAATAATAGTATGCATAATGTGAGTAGTATTGAAGCAAGTTCTAAACAGCAAAAACCACACTTGGTAGTAGTAGTAGTAGTAGTAGTAGTAGTAGTAGTAGTAGTAGTAGTAGTAGCAGTAGCAGTAGCAGTAGCAGTAGCAGTAGCAGTAGCAGTAGCAGTAGCAGTAGCAGTAGCAGTAGCAGCAGTAGCAGTAGTAGTAGTAGTAGCAGCAGGAGTAGTAGTAGTAGTAGTAGTAGTAGTAGTAGTAGTAGTAGTAGTAGTAGTAGTAGTAGTAGTAGTAGTAGTAGTAATAGTAGTAGTAGTAGTAGTAGTAGTAGTAGTAGTAGTCATAATGCCAAAAGGTTCATAACAGTTGTATGCAAATCATAGTATATAACGAACCTGACAGTTCATGTCCCAGTTAGGGTTTAGGGTATAGGGTTGTTGGCTTTGGGCATTTCAGGGTTTGCGGTAGGGGTTATGGTTCAGGGATGTTTGCAGGTCTAAGGCTTTGCGGTCTTTTCCCCAAACCCTAAACCATGAATCCTGAACCCTAAACCCTAAACCCCTAAACCCTAAACCCTAAACCCTAAATCCTAAACCCTAAACCCTAAAACCCTAAACCCTAAACCCTAAACTCCAAACGACGCTTTTGAGGTGTCACAACGCAGCTCTCAGCGCCTGCGAGCGCAGCCGGAACTGGACCTAGAAGTCAAAGTCTTGTCGGCTTCGGGTATCACCGCCCAGATCCCACAGCCTGAATCCGAAACCCTAAACCCTACCGTATTATATATATATATATACACATACATATAGACATTTTTAATACTGCCTATATACGGTTGGTTATATACTAGAAACCCAACCCTAGACTTAAACCAGTTTGAGGCTCAGGAGTGACTCCTTACCTTTGGTTAGTAGGGAATGGAAGAATGGTAGTAATGGTCGTTATAATTGTACCCCATTCCTCCATTCCTCACTACCCGAAGGTAAGTTGTAAACCCTAAACCCGAATCCCTAAGCCCTAAACATCTAAACCCTATAAACCCTATAAACCCTATAAACCCTATAAACCCTATAAACCCTATAAACCCTATAAACCCCTATAGACCCCTACATGAACCCTGAAACTGCACAGCTGCACATAAAGAGAACTCCAGAAAGTTGGAATATGGATGAATGGTAGGATCCCCTGTAATTTACCTTAAAGGGGTTACGATAATGATATTCCAACTTTCTGGCTTCTACTGTAAGCCTGAAGATTCCGCTGTGACCCTGCTCTACAGCTTAAAGCTACGCATAGCTAGCCAGCCCTCCTTTTTTTTTTTTTGTAGTGTGGGGTTTGGAGTTGATCACATAGGTCCGGAATCTGCTCCAAATGCTGTAGACCCACAAAAGTTTTCACCTCAACGTCCCGAAGCCATGGACAAGCCTTGGGGCCTTGAATCCTTACTGGCTGGGTTATTCACTGGAAAGGTGTTCTCCTTTTTGTCTTTTTCCGTGCATCTTGCATCATGTCGTCACCTCGAGAAATACCTGTTCTTCCTGCCCCTGCGGAACCCGAAAGCTGACATATTGCGCAATCACCGAAGGCTTTGATGTTCGAGCACAGTATCTTATTGGGACATATTGCCAGGTACCATATGGCGACAAAAAGCGGATACTATTCCTATTCATTCAGACCCGGCATCAAATGCTTCTTATTTTGGGTTTCTAATCGCTTCAGGTTTGGAAACCATAGACCCTGCAAGGGTTCTGGGTGGTAGGGTCCTGAAGAGCTTGGGGTTCAGGGGTTTAGGGGTTAGGGGTTTAGGGGTTTAAAGATTTGGGGGTTCAGGGTGTAGGGGTTTGGGGGCTTTGGGGCTTAGGGAGTTTAGGGGTTTAGGGTTGAGTCCTGTGTGTGTACTAAGATTATTCAGTGCCTGGGGTTGACGGTCATTGCAGGTTTGCTGGGATTTACTGGGCTTTGGAGTCCCTTACTTTAATACTTTTTTCGGTAAGGAACCACTATGAAATAGAAGTTTATATTTTTTTATCCCTGGTTACTTAAAAGCCCAGTGTAGAGCAGGCAGGGTTCGATGTGTTTAGACTTGTTGAGAATCAAAGCACGGTTAGTCTTTCTTCCGGCTTTAGTCATGTGGAAGTTTCCTAAAATAAGGGACCCTGTTATAGTACCTTAAATAGTAGGATCCTTATTATAAGGACACCAAAACAAGGTACCCCTAATTTTCGGAAACTCCAAACCCTTATTGAGCCCTTTAAAGGAACCCTTATGGTACCCTTGTAGTAGGCCTTTAGAGGTACCCCTAATTTTCGGAGACTCCCACTTCTGGTGCCGCGACAGGACGGCGGCCCTTGCTCTATACGGCAGCCTGCGCAGCGCGCGCTTGAGCCCCACGGCGCGGGCCCACTTACAGGATCATGGGACTTAGTAACTAGGGTTATAGTTACGGCAGCTATACTTATAGCCCCCAATTAAGGTACTTATAACCTTACTTACTAAGTCCCATGATCCTCCAAGCACCAGGATTTGCGATGCCCCTTCTTGGGTTTTCTTGTTGTTTATATTGGTCTTCACAGGTGTAGCATGATGATGGGGGGTTCAAGGTTCAGGATCGGGGGTTCAAGGTTTAGGATACAGGGTTTTAGGTTTCGGATGCCACCCTTCAAGGTTAAGGATACGCTAGTTTCAGCATTTGGGCAGGTTTTCGGGGGACTTTTCGCGGATACGTTCATAGGGCTTCATGCTCGGAGTTTAGGTTTTGGGTTTCCGAATTGAGGGGGCCCTTATACAATACCCGAAATAGTAGGATCCTTATTACAAGGGCCCCAAGATAAGGTACCCCTCATGTTCGGAGAGTCCCATACTTGGAGGATCATGGGAATTAGAAGGTTATAAGTACATTAATTGGGGTTATAAGTAGTTATACGTCTAGTTACCCCCCAAAATAACCCTAGCTACTAAGTCCCAGGATCCTTTAAGTAGACCCTTAACCCTAAACCCTATGGATCCCTTTAAGGAACCCTTATAGATCCCTTTTTAGGATCCCTTAAGTACTGACCCCAAACCCCAAGTCCATTGGAGATTGAGACTTCTACGCGACGCTTCAGCCTATGATCCTCAAAACGGGAATCATGACAGGAGTGAGCTACTAAGACAACTACACTACTACTACTACTACTACTACTACTCCTGCTACTACTACTACTACTACCACCACAACAACAACTACTACTACTACTACTACCACCACAACAACAACAACTACTACTACTACTACGACTACTACTGCTACTACTACTACTACTACCACAACAACAACTACTACTACTACTACTGCTACTACTACTGCTACTACTACTGCTACTACTACGACCACTACCCGCGCCCCCCGGCCCCCCGAAGTCCTTCAAATGCTGAACCCCCTAAGTCCATACCCCTAGACCCGGAAGCGCTAAGACCCCTAAGCCCACATTCCATACCCCTGAGCACCCAAACCACTGTTGTCCTTTGTTATACTCCCCTAATAAAGAATAGACAGATCGGTTAAGGTACCTTCTTTAAGGGCTTCTTATTAAGGGACTAGGGTAAAGGGCCCTGTCTATTTCCCTAAAAGGGACAAGGCCGACCCAAACCGCGACTGAACTGCGAAATAAGACAGCCCTGAGCAGCGTGTGGCTGAGGGGAGAAATCCGCATACTGGCAACATGGGGAGGACACGGATAGCGAGACGAATCATGGCTTCATATGTACTTGTATATACACACATGAATAAATGTGGTGGCCAAGAAGATCCAGAAGCAAGGAAGCCTGCAGTATTGCTGTTGTACCTGAAGCCCCTAGCCAGTTACGTAAGTTAAAGTCGTTACCCCTCGGCTCTATGACCAAATTGTATTTAAGCCCTACTTGGAGGACCATGGGACTTAGTAAGTAAGGTTATAAGTACTTTAATTGGGGTTATAAGTAGCTATAAGTATAGTTACCCTAATTATAACCCTAGTTACTAAGTTCCATGATCCTTTAAGTATAGTAGGTTTAAAAGGTGCATCCTGCCGGCCGTGCGGCTCCAGGGTAAGCGAGAGTTAGTACATCAGCCTTCGCCAGTCCTCACGCAAATCCGCGAGGCAACTTTGGTTTCGCAAGGCTTAACCGCCAACCCCCAAGCCCCTCAGCCCTGCTCTGCACCGTGAATCACGGGATTTCGGGTTTAGAGTTTAAGAATCGGGCTATAAATAAGTGGTACTGATCAGTCCAAGTGAGGCAATTATAACGACACTTACAAAGCCCCATCCTCCAAGTCCCTGTAAGTGGTTGTCAAATTATGTTCCCTTTTTTGGGTCCTATTGCAATACGGCACCTAATATTTAAGGGAGCCCAAAAAGGGATCCTAATTTTGACAACTACCCAAGTAAGTCCAACACCCCAAACCCCGAATTCCAAAAGCTTTCATCCTGATCGATGCAAGACGGGTCCAAAAGGGATTGCTTGTGGGTTCTTTCATGCCTAGTTAGGTTCAGCATGTTGGGGTCTAGGTTGTGGTAAACTCCGCAGAATCATACAGGGGCTATCAGGAGATTACATGTATATATATATATATATATGTACATATATATGTATATATATATATATATATACATATATATATATACGTATACATATATATATATATGTACGCACGCACGTGCTAAGACGGTAAATGTGGCAGTTGGATGTTTGTTTTTTCGCTGGTGGTGTTCTCACGGCTTCTTGTGGCGGGACCGGACACCCCCGAAGGGTCTACGGATCGGCGAACATTTTCGTGGAAAGTGCTTCAGTTTGGGCGTCGAAATAGTTCGTACTGTAGTCTTCCCTTACCGCTCCCAAAAAAAATGGGGAGAATTTCCCCAAGAACTTATGCGAATTCCCCGAGCCCCGAGAGCCTAAGCTAACCTGAAGGCATCCTCGATCCAGGCCCCCTCTAACCGTAGCTTCGAGGCAGATGGACACAATAAGGTTAGGATTTGCGGTTTAGGGTTTAGGGTTTAGGGGTCTAGGGTTTAGGGTTTAGCGGTTTAGGGTTTAGGGTTCAGGGTTTAGCGGTTTAGGGGTCTAGGGGTCTAGGGTTTAGGGCGGCGCAGGGTTTCGGGCCTTGTGTTTAGAGCATAGAAGGACTAGGGTTCATGGGGTCGAGTAGACTACTGTTGATTGTATAAATCCTGCATTACTTTAAGGACCCAAAACTATGGGAATTATGGTATATTCCTTATTATGGGTAATCCAGGATTTATATCATCAACCGTAGGAATCAGAATCAAGAATTCCTGGTTCTGATTCTGTGCCCGTACGGCCTGGCCGAGGTCTGGAGGTGTATTTGGAGGATCATGGGACTTAGTAAGTAAGGTTCTTTAAAGGGCTCCTTAAAAAGATCTATAGGGTTCCTTAAAGGGATCTACAGGGTTTAGGGTTTAGGGTCTACTTGGGAGGATCATGGGACTTAGTAAGTAAGGTTACAAGTACCTTAATTGGGGTTATAAGTAGTTATAAGTATAGCTACCCTAAAAATACTCTAGTTACTAAGTCCCAGGATCCTTTAATTAATGGGGTTGTGTATGTTCTAGAAGGATTCAATTGTAGCGTGTCATACACGGCAAGAACATTTGGTAGGAACCATTGCCTTCTGATCTAGCATCCAGCATAGACATCGGGTCATTGACGTCATCCGTTATGCTGTAGAAAATAACGGAAGCAACACGCGTGCAGAAGCAGTAGTAGCCGCAGTAGGTGGTCGTCGCCGTCGTCGTTGTTTTCGTCATCGTAATTTGAAACGCTGCGCGTCGTCCGCCTCGGCCCGGCTGTACGCGCATGCGGCGAGTGGCTACTATCTGCAGCAAGCTCTTGTAGGAAAAAAGTAACAGTTGGAATCGCACTTATAGTAAAAGTAATGTTCATAGCAACACGAAGCAGGATGATTGTGAGTAGTATTAGTAGTGGTAGTGTCAGTACGAATTTTGGTGTCGTCATTCCGAAACACTGGATACCAAGACTCTCGCAAGCGGCGGGATGCCTTAAGTATGGGCCGTTGAGGCTGTGGATTTCGTGGGCGTCTTGGATTAGGGAAGCATCACAGCCTTTTCAACCACGTTACTCCGCCTATCCCAACGAAAGGGCGTCTAAAACAAGCCTGAGACGCACAAGATGCTACATTGCAGTCCCGTGTCGTCGAAAACTCCAGAAAGCTCGCACCTGTCAGCGAGCGGAGCAGGGGCGGGAGGGAGTACCTTGGAGCTCAGTGACACGTTTCCATTTTTAAGGGGGGGGGGGTGGCAGTGGCCCCGATTTTTGGTGTGGGGTCACTGGGGAGGGGATTAAAGAGGTGGGGAATAGAGGGAATCCGAATAGGAACCTCTGACCGCTTCGGCCGGGGCCGAGGCGAATAGTAGCAGTGCAACAGCTGTCGTATTTGACAGAAGTTGTCGTCGTCAGCAACGTGCACGTGGTGGACTCCGGGTGAGTACTTGTGGCTTACAGGGGCATAAAGTTTCATACAGTTTTACATTTTTCTTGCTTACTTGTGGTTGGTAAGGTTTTCTTATAGAATGTCTTGTTTAAGTTTCAGAGGAGTAGACCAACCCTCTCTGAACCCCCTGCAAAACTTTGCAAGCATGCTACAAAAGCCTAAGCCCTTTAGTAAACTATGATAAAAACGCTTGTGAGGTTTTCAGCCCTAGCCCCTAGACCTTAGCTGTCTGAAGCCTTCGTCGCTATGTCGTTGCATACAGAAAGGTCACAGAAGCCTTATACCTAGGCCCCCCTTTTCTTGCCAAACCCCAAACTCCTAAAACCCCAAACCCTAGACAGCAAAGCCCTTGTGAGTCCTTGTGGTGCCCCCCCCTGAATCTAAACGCATGATCAAGAAAAACAGGCAAGTAAACGCATGCATAAGTGGTTCAAGCACAATTAGATAGACAGACAGACAGACAGACAGATAGACAGGTAGACAGGGAGACAGATAGACAGAGAGACAGAGAGACAGAAAGACAGACAGACGGACGGACAGACAGACAGATAGACGTACAGACAGATATGTAGTCTTATCATCGTCTGCAGAACTTGATGCCCTTAGCCCTAAACCCTAAACCCTAAATCGAAAACCTTAAACCCTAAGCCCAAAATCGAAGACCCTATGCACTAGTGCTGGGAAAAAAAGCCCCAAACCTTAACCCCCAAACCCTACACCCGAAGCCCTAAATCGGCCACGAGGCCATGTGCGACAACTCGATCTTCTTCGAGAAGGAGTCTGTGTCATAGTTGGGCCACATTTTTACATTCTTATGGGTTCAAGGTTCAAGGTTTAGGGTTCAGGGTTTATGGTGGGTACTTAAACCCAAGAAGGAAGAGACATTTACAAAGTGTAAAAAT